AACGTTAGGATCATGAATAATTTTGGTTTATAAATTTAGTGCTCTGTCTTCAGTACAAAAAAAATATCCCTTATAACATTATTGATCGCAAACTTTTTTTGTTCAGTGTATATCTATTATGTCAAACAGCCATGTTGTTTGTGTCCACATGATTGTATGGCTTGTGTTGATATTCTGTGATATATAGCCATTACATCATACTGCTGTGTTGCTTGTGTCCACATGATTGTATGGCTTGTAATGCTATACTGTGATATATAGCCATTACATCATACTGCTGTGTTGCTTGTGTCCACATGATTGTATGGCTTGTAATGCTATACTGTAGTGTATAGCAATTACATCATAGTGCCATGTTGTTTGTGTCCACATGATTGTATGGCTTGTGTTGATATTCTATGCTATATGGCCATTACTAATGCTTCTAAGCATAGATCTGAATAGTATACTTGTGCCTACTATTGCTGAGGTGTGGTGGTAGTTCTAGGAAGGGAAAGTTTCTGTGAAGGAGTGACAGTCAATCATATCTGCTGCTGCCCTTCACCTTGCCACTTGAGTGCCCTTCACCCCACTTGAGTGTTAGGTTGTCCACACCAGATGTCCTTGATGTAACTCTTGCATCTGTCCTGGTATGTTCTCTGGCACTGAGTGGGTGGGTATGTACGTGTAACACGTCTGTAAAATGCAGTGGTTCAGACTGCCAGAGGAAGTGACCTCGGTGTAGTATATAACCACGTATTTTATAGTGTCCATGTGCCCGAATTCCTGAAACAAAACAGCCCCTTCTCCTTGAGGACAGGATGAAGTCTGCATATGCTTGAAGACACTGTGTGGAGGTCGCAGTGCACTCAGTTGTGGTAGGTTATGTGAATCCAACATGTGGTGGAAGCTAGGGATCCCTTTGGCACATGCTAACTCCCTGTGTTATCTCCGGAAAGTTACCAGCCCTGTTGATCACACGTAAGCAAACTGACAACAGGTGGAAGGGTGGGGGGCAACACGGGTTGACAACAGGACGGATGGCAACAGGCAGGGTGGCAAAGTGATTTGAGTATGCTTTTGTCCTGATTTTAGCAATATTCCAAGCCATTTGACAGAACTGAAACTGGACTACCCCATGATTTGACATGGGATCTGTTGTGTTGAACTACTAAGAGTGAGTAAATGAGGTTTTACTTTGCTTTTGGCAATATTCCAGCAATATCACAATGTACCCATGTAGTGAATCGAACCTGGGTCAACGGCATGACGAGCGAAAGCTTTAACCACTAGGCTACCCGACCACCTCTGAAACTACTAAGATGTGAGAAAGAATTCACTCAGAATATCCTATACACCCTGTAGACACCATGATAGAATTAGAATTGGTTTGCAGCAACCGATACTTTCTGTAAAAGGCGACTATGCTTGTTGTATGAGTTCGGGTGGTCAGGCTCGATCTATGCAATAGGGATACGATGCATGTCATCTTATCCTAAGTGCATAGATTGATGCTCATGATATCAATCACTGGATTGTCTGGTCTAGACTTGATTATTTACAGACCGACGTCATATAGCTGGAATATTGCTAACAATTAAACAATTAACAAACAATAGTCACCATGCCCCCTGAAAGTAGCAGCTATACCCCTAAGTAGTGACTATTCCCCCTGAAAGTAGCGACTATTCCCCTGAAAGTAGCGACTATTCCCCCTTTAAGAAGCGACTATTCCCCATGAAAGTAGTGACTATTCCCCCTGAAAGTAGCGACTATTCCCCTGAAAGTAGCGACTATTCCCCTGAAAGTAGCAACTATTCCCCTGAAAGTAGTGACTATTCCCCCTGAAAGTAGCGACTATTCCCCCTGAAAGTAGCGACTATTCCCCTGAAAGTAGTTACTATTCCCCTGAAAGTAGCGACTATTCCCCCTGAAAGTAGTGACTATTCCCCTTGAAAGTAGTGACTATTCCCCCTGAAAGTAGCAACTATTCCCCTGAAAGTAGCAACTATTCCCCTGAAAGTAGCGACTGCTGAGTTGTAAACATAACGCGGGTGAAGAACCTTGGTGATATAATTGACGTCACCAGATTCCTTACACAAGAAACATTCTAGATTTCTTGCACTTCCGCCAAACAGTGTATAATTAGCATGCACAGCTGCCAGGAGAGGACAAGTACAGAAATCAATTGAGGGAAAGTGGATATAAGTATCGCCCAGAGACCACCAATCTACCCTGTTGGAATCTGGAGGTCTGTAGATATATATGTTTGAGGTAGGTCGGTAATGTTGTGCTCAGGCTGGTTGCATTGATATTAACTCACTAGTTAGGCTTCATGACTTCAACATGTTGCTGTGATGAAGAACTGTGATGCCAGATCACATTACTCCATGCTGGGAATCTCAAAGCATAAGCTTGAAGTGGTAATATGTCATTTTGTCGTAAGCTGCTGTGTTCCGTATTAACCATGTGGGTGAGGACCTTGTGTCTGTATGAGAACTCGTCCACGTGGGTCGAATGTTATCTGTGGTTGTGGGCAATCTTGTCGTCAACATCAGCATTGTATCTGTCCGCGGTGGTGTGAGGTAGCATCATGGTCACGGTGTTCACTCTTGATGCTGTCGAGTTTGATTCCACACAGATACAATGTGTGAAGCCTATGGCTGGCTTGAATAGTGACAAAAGCAGAGTAAGACCATACTCTTACATCTCATATGAATCTGTGGAACATGTGTATTTTAATAGTTCATTGCCTGTCTTCCAGTTGCACTGTGGAGGAAAGTTATTTGATAAAGACTATGCCATTGATATCCTTAGTTTAGCTGTCTCATACCCAAGCGAAATGTGTGCTTCACTCAATGGTTACATTTGGGGCCTTTCTTCCACATTAAACTGACACACGCCACTGGTCAAGCCATGAAGCCAAACTCACTCAGTCTCTAAGACCTGCATAGTCTGGACCTTGTCAGTTAGACCTCTTTAGTCTGGACCTTGTCAGGTAGATGTCTCTAGAATGGACCTTGTCACTTAGACCTTTTTAGTCCAGATCTTGTCACTTAGATCTTTATAGCCCAGACCTTGTCAGTCAGACCTCCTTAGTGTGGACCTAGAGTGGACGACTTTAGTCCGGACCTTGTCAGGTAGATGTCTCTAGTCTGGACCTTGTCACTTAGACCTTTTTAGTCCAGATCTTGTCACTTAGATCTTTATAGTCCAGACCTTGTCAGTTAGACCCCGCTCGTCCGGACCTTGTCGGTAAGACCTCTCTAGCCCAGACCTTGTCAGTTAGACCTCACTAGTACGGACCTTGACAGACCCCGCTAGTCCGGACCTTGTCAGTTAGACCCCGCTTGTCTGGACCTTGTCAGTCAGACCTCTTTAGTGTGGACCTAGTGTGGATGACTCTAGTCCGGACCTTGTCAGTTAGACGTCTTGTCTGGGCCTTGTCACTTAGATCTTCATAGTCCGGACCTTGTCAGTTAGACCCCTCTAGTCCAGACCTTGTCAGTTAGACCCCTCCAGTCCAGACCTTGTCAGTTAGACCTCTCAAGTCCAGACCTTGTCAGTTAGACCCCTCTAGTCCAGACCTTGTCAGTTAGACCCCTCTAGTCCAGACCTTGTCAGTTAGACCCCGCTAGTCCAGACCTTGTCAGTAAGATCCCTCTAGTCCAGACCTTGTCAGTTAGACCCCTCTAGTCCAGACCTTGTCAGTTAGACCCCTCTAGTCCGGACCTTGTCAGTTAAGCCTCTTTCGTGTGGACCTAGTGTGGATGACTCTAGTCCGGACCTTGTCAGTTAGGCCCCTCTAGTCCGGACCTTGTCAGTTAGACCCCTCTAGTCGGACCTTGTCAGTTAGACCCCTCTAGTCCAGACCTTGTCAGTAAGACCCCTCTAGTCCAGACCTTGTCAGTTAGACCCTGCTAGTCTGGACCTTTTCAGTTAGACCCCTCTAGTCCGGACCTTGTCAATTAGACCCCTCTAGTCCAGACCTTGTCAGTAAGACCCCGCAAGTCCAGACCTTGTCAGTTAGACCCCGCTAGTCCAGACCTTGTCAGTTAGACCCCTCTAGTCCGGACCTTGTCAATTAGACCCCTCTAGTCCAGACCTTGTCAGAAAGACCCCTCTAGTCCAGACCTTGTCAGTTAGACCCCTCTAGTCCAGACCTTGTCAGTAAGACCCCTCTAGTCCAGACCTTGTCAGTTAGACCCCGCTAGTCCAGACCTTGTCAGTTAGACGTCTCTAGTCCAGACCTTGTCAGTAAGACCCCTCTAGTCCAGACCTTGTCAGTTAGACCCCTCTAGTCCGGACCTTGTCAATTAGACCCCTCTAGTCCAGACCTAGTCAGTAAGACCCCGCTAGCCCAGACCTTGTCAGTTAGACCCCTCCAGTCGGACCTTGTCAGTTAGACCCCTCTAGTCTGGACCTTGTCAGTTAGACCCCTCTAGTCCGGACCTTGTCAGTTAGATCCCTCTAGTCCAGACTTTGTCAGTTAGACCCCTCCAGTCTGGACCTTGTCAGTTAGACCCCTCTAGTCCAGACCTTGTCAGTTAGACCCCTCTAGTCCGGACCTTGTCAGTTAGACCCCTCTAGTCCAGACCTTGTCAGTAAGACCCCTCTAGTCCAGACCTTGTCAGTTAGACCCCGCTAGTCCAGACCTTGTCAGTTAGACGTCTCTAGTCTGGACCTTGTCAGTTAGACCCCTCTAGTCCGGACCTTGTCAGTTAGACCCCTCTAGTCTGGACCTTGTCAGTAAGACCCCTCTAGTCCAGACCTTGTCAGTTAGACCCCACTAGTCCAGACCTTGTCAGTTAGACGTCTCTAGTCTGGACCTTGTCAGTTAGGCCTCTTTCGTGTGGACCTAGTGTTGACTTCTTCACAACAGCACAAGCACAAATGTGTCAGGTTATCTTATATCAACTGTTGTATATTGAAGGGTTTTAGGTAACCAGCATACATATACGTTTTTTGTCATGCTAACGGCTGTCACATTAGTTTCTTAAGTTTTCTCTTGTTTCTTGCAGTGGGTGAGAGATAGAAAGTATTCACTATCTGAAGTTTGCAATCATTCCCCTTTTCGGCACAAGGAGCGCTACCAACTTCGGCGCCTCATCAGCCAGGCCTACAAGACCCGCAGAGGAAATCCCCAGAATGGCAGTCCCAGCATGGTAGAACCTCAGCCCGTCAAAGTGGTCACCTTCAGTAATGAGACAAAGTCCAGCACAGAACAGCCCCCAGGTATACGGTTCACACCAACCTAGTGAAGCCTATTAGTCATGTCCCCCTGTCGTCATTTGGCTGGAATGTTGCAGAAACTAGTAAAATTTGACTCCTTCGTTCACTCACTCCTTCACTTCTCTACTCACTCACTCACTCACTCACTCCTTCACTCACTCACTCCTTGTTTGTGTTTCAGTAGTGGATCAGTTCACCAACAGCTTGATGCCCGCCCAGGAGTCCACCACAAGTGACAGAGTCGTCTTCTCTTTGGGGTCCTCCTCCAATCTGGCCGGAGGCAACATGTGTAAGTCTAGAGTTGGTGTATATAGCCAAATCATAGAGCCATTGTATATATATTTAATTATGGAGCCATTGTATATAGTTGAATCATGGAGCCATTGTTTATAGTGAATCATGGAGCCATTGTATATAGGTGAATCATGGAGCCATTGCATCTAGTGAATTATGGAGCCATTGTATATAGGTGAATCATGGAGCCATTGTATATAAGTGAATTATGGAGCCATTGTATATAGGTGAATAAGGAATCAATTATATATAGGTCAATCATGGAGCCATTGTATAAAGGTGATTCATAGAGCCATTGTATATAGGTGAGTTATGGAGCCATTGTATATAGGTGAATCATGGAGCCTTTGTATATGGATGAATCATGGAGCCATTGTATATAGGTGAATCATGGAGCCATTGTTGATAGGTCAATCATGGAGCCTTTGTATATGGATGAATCATGGAGCCATTGTATATAGGTGAATCATGGAGCCATTGTATATGGGTGAATCATGGAGCCACTGTAGATAGGTGAATCATGGAGCCATTGTATATGGGTGAATCATGGAGCCACTGTAGATAGATGAATCATGGAGCCATTGTATATGGGTGAATCATGGAGCCACTGTATATAGGTGAATCATGGAGCCATTGTATATGGGTGAATCATGGAGCCACTGTAGATAGGTGAATCATGGAGCCATTGTATATGGGTGAATCATGGAGCCACTGTAGATAGATGAATCATGGAGCCATTGTATATAGGTGAATCATGGAGCCATTGTATATAGGTGAATCATGGAGCCACTGTTGATAGATGAATCATGGAGCCATTGTATATAGGTGAATCATGGAGCCATTGTATATAGGTGAATCAAGGAGCCATTGTAGATAGATGAATCATGGAGCCATTGTAGATAGGTGAATCATGGAGCCATTGTAGATAAGTGAATCATGGAGCCACTGTAGATAAGTGAATCATGGAGCCATTGTAGATAGGTGAATCATGGAGCCATTGTAGATAGGTGAATCATGGATCCATTGTAGATAGGTGAATCATGGAGCCATGCTTTATATTAGTGGAATGATTAAATGGAGTCATCATGTATACGCTGAATCATTGGATAAGTGTATGTCTGTTCTTTAACACTGCAGTAAGCTGTATTCCAGCTGTGTGATGACAATCTGCAAAAATTGAGAATCAATTAGAAAAACCAGTGATTCACTTTGATTACATACAAATGTTTCAATCATTGGGAAGGTGAAAATCACCCATCAACTCAAAGAGAGAAAGAATCAGTTGTATCCAGGTTTAACATGAGAGCTTAATTCACTCCATGTCATTACGTTAGTATTACCATTACCGTATTCAACGTAATAAGCGCTCAGGGCGCTCTCAAAATTAGAAATAGGGGGCGCTTTTTAGAATAATATTTTGAGTTGAAAGATCGTAAATTTCGTGGTTTATGCTAACAGCCTGAAATGTTTACATACGACAGATATATTTTTCAAGAATTTAATTGCACATAATTAAGGGTGATATAACACACGAGTGCGAATTATAAACGAATAAATAAGTCTTGTGGACATTGATCAATCGGAAGGGGTGCGGATTGGGATTGTTCACTAGCCAATATATTAGCAAATATCGCCGTGGGCGCTTATTAGAGCGGGGCGCTTATTACGTCGAATACGGTAAGTGTACTTTAATTGTGACCTGTTTATTTCAGCGCCAATGCTCGACACAGACCAGAAAGTCCCTGTTGAGGAAACTGCAGCTGAGAGAACGTTGCCATGGAAAAGAATCTCTACAAACGACATTGTCCCGAGCCTCACAACGCTAATCATGGCCGATGACGAAAAGCCTCTCATGTCGGAGGCACCATCTTGGGTGAGCAATCCATCTTACCACAATCTTCTGGAATCTGGGTCGCCGTACGTGTCGCCACAGACTACGCTTACAGCACCCCCTGAACAAACGCATACACCATCTGTATTTGAAATCTTTCAACAACAATTTAGCCAAAAGGTGGAGGTATTAGGTGATAGCCCGAACGTGGCTGCGGCAGACACTACAACTCCCAATCCCTGGGACTTAGGAGGGGAGGAGGAGCCCATTGCGTCACCAATTTCCATTCAGAATGGCGACAAGACAAACAACCTGCTCCACTCGGCACATTCCGTGTTTCCGCCTCCGCACCACGTCATCATTCCGGGTCATCTCCATCGACCACCACAGATCCGCAAATCTCTGTCCCTGCCGGGGAAAGCCTCTTCGCCCCAATCACCAAAACACTGGCAGCCAATTGAAATGCAAGATGGCAATGTGTATAGAAAATGTCCATCTGAAGCAGAAATTATTTTTGACGAAGTATCATACCAACAAGATGTGAAATCCCGTGTTTCGGAATGGCTGCAACACACTGACGATTCGGAGCCGGAAGAATACGACGGCATACAAGTTAATTTTAGCAATCATCAATGTGCAACCAATGGGTTTGAGATTGATTCTGGGGAGGAGTCGGATATTGAAATGACGTATTTATAATGACAGTGAAATCTAGGAAATTTCTACGTCCTTTCTGTGCCTTTGCAGTTTCCATGGTGTGATATTATACCTGTTGCCATGACAACAAGTCACATTTAATTTTTCTCATGCAAACGATTATGCTATTTATAGATGACTCCTCTCCCCCTTTCCCAAAGATGCAACATTGTAATATATATGACATTTTATGTTAAAAGCATTGTAAATATTTGTACAGTTAATTTTACTCATATTTATTATACATCCCTTGAAATTTGACCTCTTTTAAAACAAATTCCATTCCAAATACTGAATGAATTCAAGAGACGGAAATTGATAATTTGAAAACAAAAAGCTTTTGAGTATGGCATGGTGGCATATTGTCCAGGGGAGACAACTCTTCATGCCAGTTAATTATGACCGAATCAGTTGTTTTGTGAGATCAATTTGGGGTTTAGCATATAAAAGTAATGTTTGATTTGACATATTTTTTCTCCAACAATGGACATGACATGACTCGGTTGCTTCATTTGTATATACTATTTATTTCATGCAAGAATTTATGTAATCACATGCAGTTGTCATGGTTTCTGTTCAAATTTTGATGTTCATATTCTTCAAATGCTCAATATTTCATATTATGCATTAACTGATAATGTCCATACCTTTTTCTTTAGACAGAAGTGAACAAGAATTAAATCAGGTACATATTTATTTGTTCTTGCACTCAGGTACTGAATTTCTCTCCTTTTGAAACATACATACCAGTGGTAACCAGTGTGAAACAGAGCTCGCTGCAAGTATCAAGCTTGTTCCCCAGCACTCCACAGACTATGGGGTCACCAGTATTCTTAATTCAGATTGTTACCGCAAAAATTTATGAGTTGAGAGTTGATGTAAGATCTTAATTTCATTACCAATTGATTGGAAAAATATTTACTTTCTATTTCTAAATCTTGAAATGAATTCATACATATTGGAGCTTTTAACGTAGATATTTTGTGTAAGGGCTGCTTCGTCCCTGATATTTGTAAGTACAGACTGCAGTTGCATTGGCGCATAGTAAACTCTCGTGTTAAAACATACTCCTTTTTGCTCATTGTGAACGATATACCCATATATACCTCCAGCATAGCGAGACTATATTTATCATATGCGATTAACACAAGATAATTCCATCCAATGTACAGATAAGAACAAATTTAAACTTGTTTTCAAGTCTTCATCTCTTTAGAAACTGTGATCTATTTTGAATTACCATGGTAACAGCTTCACCTGAAACTTGAGAGTTTGGAGATAAATCAGGCACTAAAGACAAACAAAGCATATGATGAATGTTGTAGCCTTTGTCCTTGCTCTATATCAAGGTTATCTCCCTCTGTGTCAGCCAGTACCAGGAGATGGACGTGATATAGTAGTTATAGCACAGTTTCTTCCTGCTACTCCCTGATGGTGTTAGTGCAGAGGGTAGGCAGCAAATGGCTCCACATTTACTGCAATCTCATTAAAATCAGATCTTAGTTATCGCTCCCGCTAAACAAAGATCTGAGGACATCCTATTACGGGTCATGTCAGACCGACCTTGCGCGAACTTTGACCGACCAATGGAATGACCAATCAGAAGGCAGCTTTCTCGTGCTTTACGGCACTAATTTCAAATGGCGACTACGCATCGAATCATATTTTGACAAATTCTCGATTACAAATTTGAAACCTGAACAAAAGATCATTCTGGAATGGCTAATAGATGGTCTAGATTGTATGGATACAGTTGTTAAACCCGTAACTATCGTTCGGAGTTAAAGTTTTCGAGGCTGCATGATCAGAAATCACATTCCGACTGTCACTTTCATAATCTGGTAAGTGATGCTCTGATTGGTCGGATGAAAGGTGACCCGTAATGGGATGTCCTCAGATCTTTGTTTAGCGGTAGCGAGAACTGAGGTCTGATTTAAATGAGATTGCATTTACTGCTACCCTTTTATTTGACTGCTGCATACTGGAATAAAGCCAACCATGAGACATGTTGCATTGCAGTGATTTACTTTTGCTTGATCATAATAAATATGCATTTAATGACATGGTGTTTTAATATGATAACTATGACGGTATTTTTACTATATTTAAATTGAAATATGTTACATTAACTTTTTTTTCTAACTTAAATTGTATTAGATTGTTTTTTAAATGTGATGTTAAATTAATCAAACATTTTTGTAAGTTTACTAGATATTAAAGTTGTGATCATTTTCTGAACAAACATTGACTATGACATTATGTTTCTTAGTGTTGTTTAATTATGGTATTATCTGTTTAAATAAGGTTTGTCAGAAAATGATAATTGGGTACCCTTCATTTTGTCTTGACATGTTTATGATGTCAGTTGTATTTTTCTTTATGTTCACACACTATTTAAGACATCCAACATATACTGGTTTTCTATTTTTTCATTTTAAATGACATGGCTTACACTTGAATATTTTAGGGGAAGTTACAGTTTTGGTAAATTACAGGCTGGGTAACAAATTGGTGGCAGGTGACCAAGTTATAACACTTTTCCCTCGGGGTAGACTTAAGACACCACAATCTACTTTCCCACAAAATCTGTCATAAGCTAACAGGGCCATATCAACAAATGATACAACAGCAATAAGAAGAAATACTTGTGTATATACATATATTAAAATCCCAAAGTCCAAAGATGAGCTGTATGAGTTACTCAACCAGTTTCACATATATATGGGTCAATATAGACTGTATCAACCAGGTGACTGAAGTTATGGCTTGCCCTTTGGCAATCCTGCTTGTCAAATGACCAAATGACCAAATGATAAGGTACAAGTCTTAGTTTCCTACTCTCTATGATAAGGTACAAGTCTTAGTTTCCTACTCTCTATGATAAGGTACAAGTCTTAGTTTCCTACTCTCTATGATAAGGTACAAGTCTTAGTTTCCTACTCTCTATGATAAGGTACAAGTCTTAGTTTCCTACTCTCTATGATAAGGTACAAGTCTTAGTTTCCTACTCTCTATGATAAGGTACAAGTCTTAGTTTCCTACTCTCTATGAAAGGGTACAAGTCTTAGTTTCCTACTCTCTATGATAAGGTTTTAGTTTCCTACTCTCTATGATAAGGTCTTAGTTTCCTACTCTCTGTGATAAGGTACAAGTCTTAGTTTCCTACTCTCTATGATAAGGTTTTAGTTTCCTACTCTCTATGATAAGGTCTTAGTTTCCTACTCTCTGTGATAAGGTACAAGTCTTAGTTTCCTACTCTCTATGATAGGGTCTTAGTTTCCTACTCTCTATGATAAGGTACAAGTCTTAGTTTCCTACTCTCTATGAAAGGGTACAAGTCTTAGTTTCCTACTCTCTATGATAAGGTACAAGTCTTAGTTTCCTACTCTCTATGATAAGGTCTTAGTTTCCTACTCTCTGTGATAAGGTTGTCCCACCTTGAACCATGAGAGGGAGGTTTGTCTGAGTTGGTCACTTGCTGCTTTTTCAGGAGGGAGCAGGCCGTCATTGGTTGTGGAGGCTCCGGCATGGTGTCTGTTGGAACATGGATCGAACAAACACAGCCCTGGAGTTTGGATGATGTTATATAAAAGATGTCTGTAAGAATTCCCTGATCAAGTGATAATAATTCATATGTCACGTTTATGAATTCTAAATTTCATATCTCGAACTGAAAATTTGATCTCATATTTCACATGATACAGTGTATTTACATTGATTATTATTAAAAAATGACAGCTTTTTACGATTATACAATTGTACATTTATGAAACAAGTTCAAAACCAGTTAACATTGTGCCAGGACATCAGTTTCTGTGGGGAAAAATGTTTTTTATATACCCAGTCAGTTTTGTTGTTGTATCTTTGTGATCAGTGAAAATACATGACAGATGGGTCGTCGTCCATCACACCACAATGCAAGCTACAGTCGATGCAATCAGCAAGTATGTGTGCAAAGACAGCTCAATGTAAATAAACTTGTTAGAAATACAGGCAAATACATAAGCAGCATGCTCCAGTCTCCAAGGCCCTCGGATCATTGCATGAACTCTCACATTAATTACCTTCCAGTCCTGAGCAATATGGTCTGCTTGACCATCATGTGACAGTTAATTGTCCCATAAGTTTCCAAATCAGTATGAAGCTCTCATATAACAGTGGAATATTTTAATCCTTGAATAACTCACCATTTAGTTTGGATAAATATCCAGGACCCATTCACTACCATAGCTTTGTATTTAGCCTGATTTGATTGACGTGATGCTTAGTACTGTCCAAAGACATATATAGATATATAAAAGGTCTTTGTTATCTCCAATCGAATTACCCTCCCAAGGGAGATAACTGGGCTAATATTGTGACACTTCTTTAAACAAAGCTTTGGTTGTGAAGGTGCCAAGGGTATTTGTCATGATAGAATGGCGACATTGTACTCTGGATAATTGGGGAAGGAGTTTTTGGTCTGGTTACCAGGATATTGAAGACAATTGTATGAATGTTTTCAATTATGCTTTTCAGCAGTAAGTCAGCAGGGGAACAACAGCCATTTAGATGCAATAACTCGTTCAGCCTTAATGTAACTCTGTCCTAGTGCAGGCGTACTGACCACAAGACTGGGAGAAGTTGGTTGCCCAGTCATGTCCTTTGAACATGCCTTTACAGACTTCCACAAGTTGGGCTAATAATCATGATAATTGCAGTGTTAGAAATACTCTAAACTTGTAGCTCATGATGAAATGTGTTTTGCTTATTCACATTACAGCGATGAAATTAAATAGTATCAGAAAGTATTATACACTGTAAAATACTACTATGTTACTAACGCCTCAGAGTATTGTCAATTTCTTATACAAATATTAATATTTTAAATTTTTTAAAAATAATTAAATGTATATAAGAGTAATATTGTTATGCTATTTGCTATTGAAAGTTTCTATGGAGTGTTTTTTTTATCAATGTGCAGCCTTCAGAAATTCCTGTATTATAAATCTTGGGTGGCCTTTCCATTGTTTTGAGCATCCACCCTTATGTACCATGTTATATTACCACTATGTATGGGTGTTTGGTATCCAGTCACCATGACGGTCATGGCCAGGCAATGAAGGTCATTGACCCTAAGGACGCCAACATCAGTTCCTGTTGGAGAAAGATCTGTTGTGTTGTGCCTTGTCAGTTGTGCTGTGTACGGCAACATGATAGTTTAGCAGTAAAGAATGACCATGGTACTGTTGTGGTGATCTAACATGTCGGTGCGATCTGATACACATAGAACCTGTGTTTGTCAGCCATGGTTAGGTATGTTTTGTGTTTTATTGGCTTGTGTACCGGAAGGCTTCGATAAGTGCAAGCATCCCTTTGTGAGATTGTCTTTCCGTTTGAACTGACCTGAAATCTTGTGCTACCCACCTTGGAAGAGGCTGTATTAGATTTCAGTTGGGGGCTGTAGTTCATTCAGTTATTTATATCCTAACTTAAAGAACTGTGTTGTATGTGAGAGCACGTCATATTGCCAGAGATTGTACATGACATCTGATGTTGCCAGAGATTGTACTTGGCCTCTGATATTACCAGAGATTGTACCGGTAGAGTTCCTCCAAGATTGCCAGAGATTGTTTATAGTCTTTGATAATATCAAAGGTTGTATATGGTCTCTGATATTTGTATACGGTCTCTGATGGTACCAGATAATGTATATGGTCTCTGATATTGCCAGAGATTGTATATTACCTCTGATATTGCCAGAGATTGAACATGACCTCTGATATTGCCAGAGATTGAATATGGTCTCTGATGGTACCAGAGATTGTATATGGTTACTGATATTGACAGAGATTGTATATGGTCTCTGATATTACCAGAGATTGTATATGGTCTCTGATATTGCCAGAGATTGTATATGGTCTTTGACGGTACCAGAGATTGTATATGGTCTTTGACGGTACCAGAGATTGTATATGGTCACTGATATTGCCAGAGATTGTATATGGTCTCTGATATTACCAGAGATTGTATATGGTCTCTGATATTGCCAGAGATTGTATATGGTCTCTGATATTGCCAGTGATTGTATATGGTCTCTGGTGGTACCAGAGATTGTATATGGTTACTGATATTGTCAGTGATTGTATATGGTCTCTGATATTGCCAGAGATTGTATATGGTCTCTGATGGTACCAGATATTGTATATGGTCTCTGATATTGTCAGTGATTGTATATGGTCACTGATATTGTCAGAGATTGTATATAGTTACTGATATTGCCAGTGATTGTATATGGTCTCTGATATTGTCAGTGATTGTATATGGTCACTGATATTGCCAGAGATTGTACATGGTCACTGATATTGCCAGAGATTGTATATGGTCTCTGATATTGCCAGAGATTGTATATGGTCACTGATATTGCCAGCGATTGTATATGGTCTCTGATGGTACCAGAGATTGTATATGGTCACTGATATTGCCAGAGATTGTATGTGACATCTGAAATTGCCAGAGATTTTATCTTCAGTCTGTGATGGTACCAGAGATTGTATATGGTCACTGATATTGCCAGAGATTGTATGTGACATCTGAAATTGCCAGAGATTTTATCTTCAGTCTGTGATGGTACCAGAGATTGTATATGGTCACTGATATTGCCAGAAATTGCATGTGACATCTGAAATTGCCAGAGATTTTATCTTCAGTCTGTGATGGTACCAGAGATTGTATACAGTAAAAGATGTTCCCAGCCAGAGATTGCATCTTGTATTGTCTCTGGTGTTGCTTCATTCATACTTTATGTCCTAGATGCAGTACAATACCTCTGGCATATTACCAGGATATTTATTCTGTTTACTCATGAGCATATTTATATATATACATTCACAAACATTTCTGTTGTGTATTCTTTCATTATCATCAGCCTTATTCAGAATGCATTAACAATCAATGATGCCAGAAGGAAGTGCTTACACAAGAATGTTTACCAAAGATTCCATTGTAATCGTTTACTTTGTATGCAACCTTTACAAATATGTCCTTATGCATTATGAGACATGCCTTCCAGAACATATGCGGCAGGAGGCGGTTGCCAAACGATTTCCTGTATAATATTTCCAATGGAGATTCGTGAGTATTGATATGCTGTCGACACAGTTGATGGGTAGAAATAGATTTATGTGCTTGTGGGACATCAGCGAATCATGGACACATGAAGAGGGTGTTTCTTACCAGGAACCAATTATGTTCCAAATCTGAAATGATTAAGGAATCCAAGGGGATTGACTCCTAATTGAGATTAAATAACTGTGGTGATTCTTTTTAAGTTCTTTTTAAGTTGATTGAGGTCAGGCTAGAAATGATACTAGTTAAGGCATGTCTTTATTTCTTTTAAACAATTCAAGAATTTTACATGTCATGTGGTTTATGTGTGTGCATATACAGCAGATGTCGAATGTAGTGTGACCGTCAAGGGTGGTGCGACCGTTTGGGGTGATGTGACAATGGAGAGTGAAGGGCGATGTGACCATCAAGGGTGGAGTGATCATCGATGGTGATGTCATCTCGTAGTGTACATGGCTATGGTGGATATCAGTGGGGAGAAGGGGTGTTGTAGTCCAAGTATTAATATCATGATGAAATAAACAAACTAGAAACAACAGGTCTTTTGTGGTTTTTTAACAACCTTGTTCTGATGCTGCTCCTCACATTAAGTGAGTGAACGAGTGAATTGGATTTCTTTCTGTTTTGAACAGTATCCATGACAAGCGAGGCTGGTAATATAGAGAGCATTTACTGATGCAGATAACCAAAATCTGCATGGAAGTTTAAGAACCGGATGTTGATTTCATTACGTGATTTGATTGGACTAGGCATAAGCTTGTTAGTCAGGCCAAAATATAACCTTGTAATTCAAGCCTAGTTCGACAAGGGTTGAAACTGGACTTTCTTAAGTCAGTTAACAAAGATGAAGAAATACTGTGAACAACACACATTTTATACTGGATATGTTGTAGAAATTTTGCTGACAAGACACATTTTAGACTTGATGTATTGCTGAAATTTTGCTGACAAGACACATTTTAGACTTGATGTATTGCTGAAATTTTGCTGACAACACACATTTTAGACTGGATGTATTGCTGAAATATTGCTAACAACACACATTTTAGACTGGATGTATTGCTGAAATATTGCTCACAACACACATTTTAGACTGGATGTATTGCTGAAATATTGCTGACAACACACATTTTAGACTGGTTGTATTGATGAAATATTGCTGACTACGCACATTGTAGACTGTGGATGTAGTGATGAAATATTGCTGACTACGCACATTGTAGACTGTGGATGTAGTGATGAAATATTGCTGACTACACACATTGTAGACTGTGGATGTATTGCTGAAATATTGCTGTCAGCACACATTGTAGACTGTGGATGTATTGATGATATATAGACATGAGTGTGAGATTTTATTTATCATCCAACATCATTCTTCCAACTTTTTCAGTTTGTAGAAAGTAATAAGCATGCAGTGTCTTAAGTGTAAAAAGTACTGCTAACAGCTTCAGTAGCAGAGCCATTAGTGATGTCATTTGATAGTGACGTCATGGTAACCAATGACGTCACAATGGTCTGCAAAGCATTGTGATGCAATTTCATTGCAGCGATATCTACAGTATAGATATCGCTTGATTTCACCCAAGCGATATCTCCTGTGGGAGCCAGTTTGGGATGATAAATTGCTGACAACACACATTTTAGACTGAAAAGTATTCCGTTACACAGTAACAAGTTTATTTGTAGTGGTATTCATTCACTCCTTTTTAGTGGTATGCATGTGCACTCTTCTGTGCAGATTTAGGTTTCTTGTGTTCATGTGCAAAATGGTCTACAAGCAGGCCATGTGTTTGGGTTCTCACCTGGTTTCGGTAAGCGATAAACCTCACAACCCCCAGGCATTCTTTGTGTGAGTAATCTAATAACTGTACTACCGTGGTACATATGCTGTTGTCAGATCTGACCGTTTATAAACCCTGGCGTATTCGTCATGTTCGGTACGGTAGTCTATGTATAGACTCTCACGTCTCAACAATCATAGTTATTGGCTGTTTTGTTTGTTTCAGCCATTTACCCTGTACACAAGTCAAGAACATTAAAGACAATGAAGGTTAAAGTGCTTTGAGTATATATTGTTCAGTGAGGCTCCCAACCCAGGGATCTCTAAACCGCCAGATCCCCTGCAGGTGTGAGACGGAACAAAAATAAGGACAATATATTGCTGACTGTATATTGCATTGTAGACTGATGTATTGATGAAATATTGCTGACAACACACATGTAGACTGGGGATGTATTTGATGAAATATTGCTAATAACACACATTGTAGACTGATGTATTGATAAAATATTGCTGACAACACACATTGTAGACTGATGTATTGATGAAATATTGCTAACAACACACATTGTAGACTGGATGTATTGATGAAATATTGCTGACAACACACATTGTAGACTGGATGTATTGATGAAATATTGCTGACTACACACATTGTAGACTGTGGATGTATTGATGAAATATTGCTGACAACACACATTGTAGACTGATGTATTGATGAAATATTGCTGACTACACACATTGTAGCCCATGGTGATATGAGTGAAATATTGCTAAATATACACATTGTTGGCCTTAATGAAGATATTGGAGAAAGATTGTTTACTGCAGATGAAGCCCCTCCTTCCCCATCTTCACGAGTACGTTTAATTTCATCTCGAAAATCTTTCATAATTATATAAATGGTACAGATTGTAATAGGAACACAAGTGTATAGTCGACGAAGTCATCTATATCCCTCGCTCATTTTAACACGTTATGGTCCCAAACCAGGTAACTGACCCAACATTTCTCTTAGCCCATGTCAAAATAGCTGCAATGGAAATTCTAAAATAAACCTTTCTAAAACTCCTTAATATCAAATGGCACCAGTTGACATGCAATATTTGGCAAGGAAATATTTAACAGTATATTTGTTATACTCCATAAATGAACCCACCCTATATTAAAACATAAATCCAACTTGTTGCCATGGAAACATAAAAAATATAAATTTCTAAAAGTGCTAAATATCAAAAGGCACCAGTTCAGTATGTGCCTGGTAAACATGCAATGTTTTGTAAGAAATTATTTAACGGTTTTTGAGTTACGCTCCGGAAACGAACACCACCCTTATAGAACCTAAGTCCAACTTGTTGCCATGGAAACGTAAAAAATTAAAAATTCTAAAATTCCTAAAAAGCCAAAGGCACCAGTTCAGCATGAGTCTGATAGACATGCAAAGTTTCGTAGAGAAATATTTAACGGTTTCTGAGTTATGCTCAGGAAACAATTTCGGGGCGCACACACGCACGCATGGAAGGACGGACGGAATATATTTCAATATCCCCCGCCAACGTTGTTGGGGCAGGGGATAATAAAGAGACCAGACATGTTCGAGAGACTTTTTGTTTATTGTTTCTTGTAAATAATCAAAAAAACACACACAACAAGCATAAGACATAGGTAAATAATAAGTAATACTGGTAAGTATACTGGGTACACTGATAATGCTGGGATATTGTAAAGCTGTAGAAACTCTTGTACAGTCATTTACATAAGATGCAGATTATAAAACATCACAAGGGGATACCTTGCATCTTTCTTTCAAGTACCCATACTTGTATACAGGTATATAAAGTCCACATATGTTAAAAATACCAATGTAAATCCACTCCACTGATACCTGGCGTTGAAAAGTAAGTCTTCAAAACAGCTCCCAGAGCTACAAACATTTGGTTAAAAAGGTACTGTAGGCAGAAAAAAATATTCTGTTTCACTACATATTGTGTACATATTTTGGCAAGCGGACTCACAATGCATTGTCTTTGAGTAATGCTGAAATATCATCTTGAAAGTTTCACCCTCTCTGTTTATGCGGATTTTTCACTTAAAATTCTAATTGACAACTTCCTACATACAATCTAATGGGTGTTTTTGGCTTTCAAATAATTGTGTATCAAGGGAGATAACTCTCAAGGCCAGTATGGCAATGCTGTTGGTGCACTGTGTTATCAAAGTTACTGATTCCTCACAGAAATTATCTGAGACATCACAATGAAAAATATTGTAAAAATGCATGAGATAAACAGTTCAAAAACGATATACAATATCAAGTATAGATATAAACCAATTAAAGAAAAATAAATCTGAGACATCAGGGATAGAACAATACAATTCTGAGACATTAAAAACATGATATTCTGATGTTAACCAATCTGAATGTCCACACCAGTAATCATTTTGAATGATCGGATTCCACACACCTCATCAGACATTCTCTCTGAAATCCAGCAACTATGTACAATATCACAAACTGTATACACCACCATCATATCTAGTATGCAAACCCTGATGCATCAAGAGATGGGAAGCCCGTTGGGGCGGGGGCGCCACTGTGTCTGCCCAGGGGCGGGGCTCCCCCTGGGTATGCTGGTACACTGTCTATAGTGGCGGGGAAGCCAACATGTCCTGGGTAGCCTCGGGTCTCTGCATAGCTCTTGTCCTTGGGGTACATGTACGAGGGATGATTTGAGTACATGGATGCCATGGAATTAGTTTTCGCTGTTACCGGAATCTCAATCTGGCCTTGACCCTGGAGACAGATTGTAACTGAGTGAGTGGTTGAGGTTGAGTGAGTGATTGAGTGTTTGAGTGAGTGAGTGAGTGAGTGAGTGTTTGAGTGAGTGAGTGGTTGAGTGAGTGTTTGAGTGAGTGAGTGAGTGAGTGAGTGAGTGAGTGAGTGAGTGAGTGCCCCTGATACAGAGTGTACCAAGATTGCATCTGAATCTGGTTATCTATTGCAACTTAGACTCTGCTAAAAGTTTATTTCATCAGGATATTTTTTTTTTAATACTTAAGGTCAATCATTAAATCATTAACTTGACCAGTCACCATTCGTTTTTCAAAATCAATGTTTTCTATCCACTGGGATTCGCTATAAACAAGTTACGTTTTACGCTCCAAACATAGGTAGTGTTTATTGCAGCAGCTGCATCCAAGCTCCCATTCCTGGCTTGATTTCATGTAAACATGGGTGAGTGAGTTGGTTTAACTCCGCTTCTAACAGTATTCCAGTTATATCACGGCATGATGCTGGTCTTACATAGGTGGATCCAAAGGGGGCGTCCAGGAGGTCCGGACCCCCTCCTCCCCCCTTTGTAAAAGCAAATGTGGTATGCTGCAGGCAGTAAAATTATCTGAGAGAAAATTTCATTATTTTAGATCCCTCCCTTTTCAAAATGCTGGATCTGACCCTGTAAGACCGGGTATGGTGTTGACAAACCTAGAAACATATTTGGGCTGAACCAGGATTTGAATTCACAATCATAGGTTTCTGGCATGCCCAAGGGATGCAACTCTAATTGAACCACCCATGCCCCCAATGTAAACATGATATATCACAGTAACATTTTAAACTCATTTGCTTCTCCCTAAGACTTTCCCCATCAAAGACTGTAGCTTCAAAACCAAATGAGGCGACTGACTTACGGCCATGCTGAGAGTCTGGTGCAGGAGGCCCCCGTACAGGTGTGGCACCAGGGGGCGGGACTGCGTGTACAGACCCCCCAGGGCTGCATACCCTTGGTGACCTCCAGCCGGAACCTTGTCGGCCACATCGGAGCGTACCTGCAACAGGCGGAACATGTGAAACACACACAAACATATGTACACTTTAGGGCTCGGACGAGTCCCACTTTACTACCTGGGTACCAACTCCCCTATTACCCGACCCCTCGGTTACCCGCTGTAGGTTTCAAGAGATAGGTACAATCTGTCCAATTAGGAAAAGTTTGCCCTCACAAAATGTATTTAGATACACGTTTTTAACGATCTGGTCATGCGTACACTGAAGTTTACTGCATGAAGTTTTATCTTTATTCAAACATACACAAGTCAGAAGGAATGGGTGCATTGTCAGAAAGAAATGAGAACACTAGTGACTTGTAGTGTTACCATAGAGTCTTAGATAATTTTTGTCATGAAACAATATATCACGTGACTAACCACGGGTCCGGGTAATGCTGTGGGTACCCGGGTCCTACTCAGTATCCATCCGACCCGAGGACCCGAGTTACCCGTCCCAGCCCTATAGCATCTTCCCGAGGCAAAAGAGTTAACTGACTATATAAGTCCAGTTTCCACCCTTGCCGAACTAGGCTGGTATTATGGAGTTTTTAACAGTTAAGTGTTTTTATGAGCACCTGATAGCTAAACAATCATTGTGTGCTGTTCAAATTAAAAACACATGTGCAAGACTATCATGTTCCTAACAAACATGCAAATATCTAAACTGTTTGTTTGTTGTTTAATGCCACACTCAGCAATATTCCAGCTATGTGACGGCAGTCTGTAAATAATCGAGTTCGGACCAGACAATCCAGTGATTGACATCATGAGCATCGATCCACGCTTTTGGGATACGATGACATGCATCAACCAAGTCAGCGAGCCTGACCAACCGATCCCGTTAGTCGCCTCTTACGACAAGCAGGGGACATCCAAATGGTGCACCATGCAAAAATATCTTTTGAAAGATGAATTACTTAATTTCAGAATAAATTTATTTTTATTGAACTTTATATGAAGCACAGTTACTTTTTTCTGTATAGTTCTATCAGAGCCAAACCCTTGTTCCGAAGAGGCATTGTGATTGGTTAACAGTTTCAGGATCATGAATGAGAGATTGTGATAGGAAGGAAGTCAAGCTGGTGACTTCACTGAAACAAAGCTAAAGTGGTGTATGGGTCCTCTGTATTTATCCTATAAGGATTGACTATGTATTTTTTTCGGTTCATACCTCAATGAACCCGAAAAAAATGCACAGTCAATGCTTATATGTAATTAAATTCGACAACGAAAACATGTTTTATCTACAAAAGTTTAACCCAAAACAGTTGTATATATCAAAGCAGACAAAAAATGATGAGATTGATAAACATTCTGGCAGTAGGAATACATTCTGTGACATGAATCAGGTGACTTTAATTTATGCACATAACATGACACGCCTACAAAGTCAGTAGCCAATCAACGGAGAGTATGATAAAAACAAAGTTCATAGGACCTGTCAATCAAGGCAAGAGGAGTGAAGTTCTGCAACAGTCTGATGGTAATGAACCGGAACAAATATGTTTGGGAAAAGGCGGCTGTTTCAAATGACAAGGTCAGTTACCGTAAGATTCAAACATTAGTTCCCTGAAAACGGGAGGACACAGTTGGAAAAATGCTTGTTAGAAATGAAACCTGAAGAAATGAAAGTTGTGGAACTGAGGCGAGCGGGAAAAAACAGGCGAGCGAGTCTGCACGTTTGCTGTTTCATTCCTTCTCGGCCTTCGATCTCAAAGAGTTGTTTGGATAATGGATATGCATGAATTTCGCTCAATGTCCTGTGCATGACGATACACGTGAGCAGAAAGGGAATTTCCTTGACTGTAATAGTGGGATTCCCCGACATTCCATAGTCATAAAAGTAGTGCGCCTTGATGGGCGTGGCTTAATATTTTACATTCATTGGGAAATGAATGAAATAACATGTGACCAATTCAGCTAATCAGAATGCAGGAAAATTCAATGAACACAACGAAAATTTAATTATAACAAAATGGTGATGTAATACACTGGATAATCCAGGATGCTGGTGGATGATGAACTCACAGTTTGAAGTATCTGCAATGCCTGGTGCTTGTCGTGCTCAAATGGGAAAGCACTCAAGATGTACTCCTCCCCGAGTCTGGTTTGATAATCTGTCAAAACCCTGCAAGAAGCAAACAGTGAGAGGATGGGTGAGTAGGGTGGGTGAGTAGGATGGTAAGTAGGATGGGTGAGTAGGGTGGGTGAGTAGGATGGTAAGTAGGATGGGTGAGTAGGATGGTGAGTAGGAAGGGTGAGTAGGGTGGATGAGTAGGATGGGTGAGTAGGGTGGTTAGTAGGATGGGTGAGTAGGAAGGGTGAGTAGGGTGGATGAGTAGGATGGGTGAGTAGGAAGGGTAAGTAGGATGGTTAGTAGGATGGGTGAGTAGAAAGGGTGAGTAGGGTGGATGAGTAGGATGGGTGAGTAGGGTGGTTAGTAGGATGGGTGAGTTGGATGGTGAGTAGGATTGGTGAGTAGGATGGGTGAGTAGAAAGGGTGAGTAGGGTGGATGAGTAGGATGGGTGAGTAGGGTGGTTAGTAGGATGGGTGAGTTGGATGGGTGAGTAGGATGGTCAGTAGGGTGGTTAGTAGGATGGGTGAGTTGGGTGGGTGAGTAAGATGGGTGAGTAGGATGGGTGAGTAGGATGGTGAGTAGGAAGAGTGAGTAGGGTGGATGAGGAGGATGGGTGAGTAGGGTGGTTAGTAGGATGGGCGAGTAGGGTGGTTAGTCGAGTAGGGTGGTTAGTAGGATGGGTGAGTAGGGTGGGTGAGTAGGATGGGTGAGTAGGGTGGGTGAGAAGGGTTGGTTTTATGCTTCTTTAAGCATATTTCAGCTTCAAGCGGAGGAAAGGCTATAGCGTTTTTGACTGTAGACATTTACCACTTTAATTTTTAGTGAGTGATCCCAAATCAAAGATGATCCTCAGGCCAGGCATTTTTTATTTCTTGGTTTGAGGATTTTTTAAAGAAAAATCCTGGTTGCTCAGCTGAGAGAAAATAAAATAAATAGACATTTCATTTTTATTTTAATTTGTTCTTAAGAAAGTTATCTGAAAATGTTGCCTTGAATGCAGTGTTAATTAAATGTGTCTTGCAGTTAAACCAATTGTCACCTATTGTCTTGCAGTTTTAACCTATTTTCTTGAATACAAAGTGGTGGTGAACAATTGAGTATGCATTCAGCATAAGAAAAAATAGTGATATTCATAAAAATAATTTTCGCATTTCCTTTTTTTTTATTATCAATCCATAAACCAATTTTTCTCGTTTTCGTGAAGGCAACTGTTGGATTCAAACCTAGGAAGATTGGATCCTGCCTCAAGTACAACACAGAAATCTCTAATAATTACTAGTGCATAGTGTACTCTTGTTGAAGGAGAAAGTGAAGGAAACTGCACATGATTTTGAAGGCTGAAATTCCTGTGGGTGATACAAATGCCTGATAACAGGATTTTTTGCAGCTGTTTATTAAATATGGATATTTTGTATTGTGCTAAATAACAGTCCGCAAAAAATCCTTTATTTCATACAAATGCAGGCGTTTTCCCAATAATTCATCAGCATCTTTCCATCTGACCTTGACATTCACCTACCTCTTGACACAGTTCAGTACAATGAGTTTGTCGTTGTGGACGCTCACGGCGCCGATAATGTCACGGGAATCCTTGCAGGTCATCCGACAAAGTCGCTGAAACACATTCGCTAAGTCAACAGTTTGTATTTAGTCGCAGTCTCATCTCCACTAGCTTTGTTTAACTGGATTAAATCCATGCCTTTTTTCATTAATTAACAATGATTCTTTACTAGGGCTGCAACGAATACAGTATGAGGCGAATACGATTCATATCATGAATATAGGGTAACGAATATGAATATTCATTCGCAATTACAATAACAAGTCAGCAGTTTATGTATTATTTATTATATATTATTATACTATATTTTCAGTGAAACAATAACATCATAATTTATTTGACATGGTTTGTTAATTATTAATAAATTATACATTTATATACTGCACTTATCCAGGTACTAGTATCTGCTCAAATGCGACAATGACCAGTGAAAACAATACTATCAAATTAAATATTATTAGAGTGTTGACATTGAAAGAAATCTATGCATATAATATGTTGTTATGGATATTTTTAAGTACAGGGTATGTAAATATACATGATAGCATATTCATAAATATTCGATTCTAGTGGCCATGAATAACAAATTCAATTCATGAATGGTTACGGTTTGATTCACCGAATACGCGAGTGAATCGTAACAGCCCTATTCTTTACCATAGGCAATCTGATCATATAACTAATATACAATGGTGGTCAAACTTTAAACTTCTTTGTGTTTAACTTCGTGGATATTGCAGTCTGTGACATATAGTTTTGAGTCCCCTCACCTGGTAAAGTCCCTTGGCTTCATATAAAGATGGTTATGGTGTTAAAACATGGACTATTCTAAGTTGAGCACACTAGACCAAAAAACATTTTCCTAGACCATGAAATTCATATTTTTTAGGTATACTTACTGGCTCCAGGATCTGGATGGCCTTGACCTTGTCAGCAGGGCAGGCTAATGCATACAAAACCGTGGCTGCCTGTAGAGAAAACACCTTATAGCTGTTTGATTTCAGTTATATCAACATTGTTCTTGTTCAAGACAGGTAATCAACAGAAATTCCATGGTGCTTGGATGCTGTATCATCAACTTTTCGAAAATGAGGAGCAGCTTTCAATTTAATTTTAGTTTTGTACTTAAGATTTTAATGTTTGAGACCATGTACTTTCCTAAACTGCAATATGATATATAAACAAGAGTGAATGTGTGAGTGAGAAGTATGTTATTTTCTGTATAAAAAACAACAAAGTAAGATGTACTGATAAGTTGTGCTTTATGTCATGGGCTTTCTGCTACCCTGGGCGGAAGCCCATTTATGTAACAGGTGCTTCTTTCTAAAAACAATAAAAGAAAAAAAACCCAAAAAAACCCATTGTTCTTGTTTTAATTCTTCACTTGTAATACATATTTTCTAAGAAACTGTACAACTAAATGGATAACAACTTCTGGTCTACTGCAGACGTTTTGATGTTTGTTTGTTTGTTTGTTTGTTGTTTAACGCTGCACTCAGTAATATTCCAGCTCTATGAGTGTGGTCTGTAAAAAATCGAGTCTGGAGCAGACAATCCAGTGACTGACATCATGTGCATCGATCCAAGCAATTGGGATGCGATGACATGCATCAACCAAGTCAGCGAGTCTGACCACCTGATTCCGTTAGTCACCTCTTACGACAAGCATGGGTTGCTGTAGACCTAATCTACCTCGGATCTTCACAGGTCACGTTTCGATGCAGATTCTTACACTCGGTTATGAAGCTGGAGTGACAACAACCAATTGATGAGAGGTATATATGCATGACCTGTTGTGATAAGCACCATGTTATTGGTATATAAGCCTTACAATGTCATGTATCATCATTGCAACATGGCAAATATACAAGTTGATATTCAGTTTGTTCCTTACAAACATTGCGGCCAAAACCTTGTACATCAAGGCCAAGTTGACCGGATGTTGTGTTTCTACTTATCCAACCACCATCAACACCCTGCATGGCCTCATCATTACATACATATAGAATACTAAACAAGCTCCCGTGTAATACCAATTTTATGAAACGAGTGAATAGCTGTGGTATCTGACGAACGAACCATAACTATGCACAAGTTTCATAAAATTGATTTTACACGGGAGCGAGTTAAGTATTTTATTTATTACTTGCCATTTATAACATTTTTAGAATTATACTGTTGAGTATGAATAGGCTGACACCTACACGATCCACGGCATAGTCCAATTGAGTTTAACAGAATAATACTTCAAATTTAATGGGATGTCCTCAGATCTTTGTTTAGCGATAGCGAGAACTAAGATCTGATTTTAATGAGATTGAGGAAGAAGAAGTATAGGCTCCTTGAAGACCAAGACTGCCATCCAGTATGCCGAGTCTATTTCCCATCTTGTTGGACTGGAATGTGCTGTGTTTTGTATATGTGCGTCATTAATAATGTATTGTGTAGAATTCTACTGATGTCAAATGTATATGATACGTCTATAAGGTGTACAAAATGTTATCTAATATAAGATACAAATGTCTATATGACAATTGATATAAAAATGGAAATAAAAGTTTTGAGATGACCCAAGCCACCTTCTAATGTCTATCCAATCAGTATGCCTGACTGCACTCCCTATTCGAGTGAGTGAGTATGGTTTTATGACGCTCTTAGCAATATTCCAGCAATATCACGGCGGGGGACACCAGAAATGGGCTTCACACATTGTACCCATGTCGGGAATTGAACCCGGGTCTTCGGCGTAACGAGCGAACCCTTCAACCACTAGGCTATCCGACCGCCCACTCCCTATTCTAAATAATAGGTGGTGGCAAATCAAGGAGTTAATACAGTTACCGGTGTGCTGTTTGTTATTCTTACTGTCCATTTGGCTTCACCCAATTGACTGTATCTATTATCTTTTAAGCTCAACACAATGAGGTTCAACTCTATGTTGGCCCACAACAAACTACAAATGTACAAATGTCATGATATATTGTACCAACATAACAGCCATAAATCTTATATTTCAATTTGGAAGCCATATCGCTCGGAATACCCCGTTTTAAAGTTTTCGAGGCTGCATGATTAGAAATCACATTCCGACTGTCACTTTCATGATCTGGTAAGCGACGCTCTGATTGGTCGGATGAAAGGTCGTTCTGATGTGACCCCTAATGGGATGTCCTCAGATCTTTTTTTAGCGGTAGCAAGAACTAAGATCTGATTTTAATGAGATTGACTTGGGACTGGCTAGCTACAAGAGCATGTAGAAAACGGAAGACAAAGACTGATAACTCACCTGTGCTGAACTAAAATATCCCCTGGAACTGTACAGTTTCTTCAGCTTATTTTGTGCTCCATTTGTTTCCTTGAAAAAATATTAAAAAATCAATAAAGGTCAGCAAGTCTTATCAGTGATTAAGAGTCTGTGGTGTGTATTTACTACTAACCCATTTTAACCATAATCAGTTTGTAGTTTCCAACCGGAAGATCAATTTTTAAAATTTGTAATAGATTATTTCCCCATATAATAGTTCATTTTTATGAATTTATGAAATGACCTTGAGTACAACAAGTTTTTGTGTCTGTGTGAGTTTATGCATTTTGGGGGTTTTATTTTGTAAAGTAGGTAAGTGATCATTCGTGAGTATTGCTACTTAATGTATTTTAACCATATAAGGGATACAGAGAATGGATCATTGTTTACTTTTCAAACCGAATCCCTGCACTACCTTTTCATTCATGCAAAGATTCTGCTTATAGGGTCTTTTCTTTCCTGGTAAGTTATTTTCATTACTGTTTTCCAAAAAGTTCTTTCCAAGAAATGTCAGCTTTGAATTTGATGTCTTTGATACCTTAATTAAGTCTTGTTCCACTGACAAACATCAAGGTTAAGTTTATAACACAGTTTTATGCAGATTCTGAGAATTTGGAAATAATGTATTTTTGCAATAGCATCTTCAACTGCCAGAGATGAATAACAATCAAGTTATTGTAAACAAATCTAAATTCGCTTAAATAAAGATTTGTGATATTGAAGACATTGTCAAATTTGATGTCATAATGGAGCTGTACCTTGTTATGGTACTCATGCATTATACCGGACACCTATCCACCATGTTTGTTTGATGCTACTGATAAAGCTGCATGTGCCAGCATTACTATTTGACAAATAGGGTGATAAAGCGATAAAGCTCAAAATAAGCTGAAAAAAATACTCCCCTTGCATTTGTATGGTTTAACAAGACTAAACCTTGACATTGAATATCAAAGCGTTGCACAAACATCGAAAATTAGACATCAACATGAAAAAATACTTGAAAATAATGTTCCATAATGGCGCACTATAACCTCATCGTTGACATCCGTCAGAGCCTGATGTCAGTGAACATGTATTTTCCATCCACTTTGGTAATTTAACAATACATTTAGTTAGGAAAGCATTTAATTCCAGCCATTGTTACAAACCGCCTGTTATTTTAGCATGGCGACAAAAATGGCATCTGAAAACCTAAAAACTGTTGCCAAGGAGAGAGCTCAGGCACATCCCAACCAAAATGGTGTTGTCAGGTTGCCTTCTTTCTGACACTTGTTACTAGACACAATACTGGTATTAAATGTCAGACGCCTCTAGTATTACATGACAACCAGGGAAACAACCACTAGTCTAGAGAATAGTCTGTGATTAGTAAATTCATCAAGGACTAGTGACATTTCCTCGTGGACTACCACTTTTAGCATTAGGTTGATGGCAACTCAGACATTCACCGATAATTAGGCTTATCACGTCATATGTGACCATGAAAATTGTCTAATTACTAAACATTGCGAAAATACATTTTGCATTCATAGTTACGACTACTAGCTATTACAAAAAAACGCCATTACTTTTTTTATAACACAGGCTATGACTCTTCATTTAAAAAATGTAGCAGACGAATCTTTTCAACATCGATTTTAGGTTGTTTACCCTAGAAACGAACCTATATTATTGAAATATATACCTGATTTATACTGGCAAGCAGGTTGGTGAAAGAAGCGTCATCTAAACATTCTTTTGCCATCGTGCAGTTACTTATTTCCAGCCTCGGGAAGCAGGTAATCACAATATTGTCAACAGCTTGTCACTGCAATGCTACCTGGCAACACAATGGCGAATTGACAGGAAGTGATATGTACGCATGTCCGGAGCTCTCTTACCCGGAAAGCACGAAAGTTTGGGATGTTGATTGCGGAATATGTGTCAAACATGTCATAATAATAACATATCCTGGTTCAAATTTCAACGTTGTTGTGGATATGGCAATACTGTCACTCCAGAGATAAAGTAGGATGTGACATTATTTATGTCTTGTCAAACCCCTCCCGTGTTTGTGAGTACAACCTTGCTAAAAAAGCAGACGATCATATTTCACTTTTCAGTTTATTGTCCATAAACAGTTACGACCAAACCTACAGTTTAGTGTTTATTTAGAATTAAGAGTTTCGATCTACACTACAATCAACAGTTACACCAGATGGGTCAATCTGCACAATTGAATTGTCAGTTCAATTATAATGAATTTATATGACCTGTCGATATAATTAGTCTACATATTTTATAACTTGTTTTTCAATACAAACTGTAGGCCTAATGGTCAGCGACTAATTAACGCCATTATTGTCATGTTATTTCTGAAATATGCTGTGTAAAAAGTTTCAGTAGATTTTTGTTATGCCTATAACACAAGGGAATCAAAACAGTGTAAATAGAAGTTTCCCGTCGACCAACTGTGTATACCAGTTATCGCCATCGCTTAAAGGGGAAGTGTACACGCAAAAATCACTTTCTTTCTTGTTTTAAACAAAACGCAATTTTAGAATTAGTTAGTATCAGTGTTTGAAAATATACACTCATTTTTCTCACAGTCAATGTAGCGAGCTCACAATAAGTGTGAAAATGTCATGCCGTTATGAGGCCGTCGTTTTCCGAGCTAATCAGGCTTGAGTTATCCCCCTTAGATTATGACGTAATTGGTGCCAATTCAACTGGGTCCCTGTCTATTCTCAACGCAAAAGATATCAAGTACCAGTTTGCGGTAAAACAACATGGCCTACGACACACTCCGGCGCAGTGGTGACTCAGCATAACGCTATGCTAGATGGCATCTGAGACGCAAGAATCACACACCTGTACCTACACCACGTGAAGCGGCTCTAACAAAGCATGATGACGTCATAATGTTTATCAATTGGCACCAATGACGTCATATTGCAAGGGGCATAAGCCATGGTGTTTTTGTTATTGAAATAGAACACCTGGTAAATGTGAAAAATATAAATAGCTTTAATGCGAAAAATATGTTGATTAATTGTGATATTTTTATATTTTTGTCTATGACACTTCTAGGTTAACACTTTTGATGTGGAAATAGTACAAGAAAAATAGGTTCATTTCCGTGTGAACTTGCCCTTTAACAGCATGTGCCATTTGATCATGTGCAAACACTTCAGTTATACCAGAGACCATATAATCTATTATATGGTCTCTTGTTATACTGATTACAATTTTCATTATCTCTGGTACCTCACTCAATTTTTTGTCAATTTGTCATCTGAATGATGTAAACTCAGGGTTAGGAATTGGCAAACTGCCCAACAGTTAAGGTATCATAAGGACAAGTAGAAATTTGCCATTTTTAAGGGTTTTACTATATGTTATCATTATAAGGACTAGTAAACTAAAAATGTTAGTTTCTCCTGTTGTAAACCAAAATTCTCCAAATTCAATTTACACATGCATATCCTTAACACTATATTCTGTGGATTTTGCAATATATACAGGTTATGCATTTTTTTTTAAAATAGCTCAATTAGGTTTTATGATTGTATTTTGGGGAAGAAATGACAGACAGACAGTAAACAATGACAGAACTGAATGAGCATTATCGTGTTGATTGATTTTTGTTTACACATGAATTAGTCATGTGTCTTTTCTAAAGTTGTATTTGAGCAAGGAGTTTAAATGATGTTATTTTTAATATTTCCTCACAAGAGTCAGTTTTGTTCAACATTTTGAGATCAATATTTCCCTCTTTTAATGAAAACGAGCATAAAGTAAAATGAGATTGCAATCACCATGATCATGGGGAGTTGGCGATAATTGGTCCAATTGGATAATTAAGTTGTACGTTTTCTTACTTACTCACCAACTTCTATCAGTGTGTGCTTGAGAATTGGATGAACACATATTCTGAATATAATCCCGGAACTGGTTTCATGTGTTCATTCAGATAACCATATTATTATTGTTCATATTCATCAGTAATATTTATCTTAGTGCTCTCTCACATGTGATGGCCCAACCTTGGTTTTTCAGTATATGAAAAATAGAACATCTTATGAAGTTATCCTTTAGACATGTCACAACAATTATTGTGGGTATTAAACAATATGAGTAATTCTACAGTTTAGGTCTAAATACATTGTTAGAAATTGGCACTAGTCCTGTAGTCCTTACCAAACTGAACAGTAATTAAGTTATCATTAAGACTAGTAGAAATTTGCCATTTTTAATGGGTTTACTATATGTTGTCATTATAAGGACTAGTGGACGAAACTATCGCAGAAATAGTGTCCCCCCTCTAAAACATGTAAATATTAAATTATTTCATTCAACAATATTCATATATTTTAGAACATACATTCTTAATTTTTACCTTTGCCTAAGTTTGTCAGGTTTTAAGTCTAGGTTTGCTGAATACATGAAATGTTGTCTAACATGGTCTAATCTATCGGCTACATTTGCCTGATAGCTAACTTGCCTGATTATTGACATTTATCACACTTGGCTGTTTGCCACTCATTTGGGATCCTTTTTGGCCAAGCCAGGTCTCTTCTAGACCCAACCGGGGGCACGGGGGGCCCAGTCGTCTAAGGCGCCGCGATTCGCTGTGCAGAGTTGCGTCCCTTGGGCACACCAGAAACCTATGATTGTGGGTTCGAATCCCGGTTCGCCCCGATTATGTTTCTAGGTTTGTCAGCACCATACCCGTGCTCGTGGGTTTCACCGAAGCGGTAAACGTCTGAGACATGCATCGCTTCGGGCTTTCCTCCCACATTAAGCTGACACGCCGAGATATAACTGGAATACTGTTAAAAGCGGCGTTAAACTAAACTCACTCACTCACACACTCACTCTAGACCCAACCCCTCCACCAAGGGGTCCACACCAAGCAGGCTACATATACTAATGGAGCTCTTCTGTTTCAGCCTTTCAATATGCAATCTCTGACCCAGAGTATTAAAGCAGTTTGTCAGAATACGCACATCATCTGGTATCACATCATCTATTTATTGTCAGGTAAGCAGTTTGTAGAAAGAATTAGTTTTAAAAAAATGAATTCATAGTTTGCATGTACATTGAGATTCACAATTTTTTATTACTAATTTCATGGTTTATTTGCAAATTTGATGTATGCATGATATGATAATTACAACTTACAGTGTGCTCATGGTATCATGGTTAGTGTCGAAAGTGTGCTCATGTTAAAGCATTTTAAATTGACACAAGTCCTATTGTCTGTGCAAAACTGCCCAATGGCAAAGGTATTATAGGGTCGAGTAGAAATTTGCCGTTTTTAAGGGTATTTCCACATGACAATGTATTATTAATTGTAAGGACTAGTGCAGTGTTTGAAGTTCACACTTCAAAAAAAGAAATGCACAATTGTTGTACCTAATAGTCGATATATTTAATTTAATATCATAGATACAAATATGAAATTTTGGAGCTCGGTGGTCACATGTTGGCGTTGTACAAAGGCATTGAAAACTGTTCATTGTCATGTCATATAAGGCCACAAGGTTGTGTGACCGCCTCGGGCAGCAATCATGGCTCTGCATCTCCTCAACACTGACTGGATAAGTGTACGAATTCTGTCCTGCCGAATTCTGCACCATTCTGCTTGTAATGCATTGGTCATTTGTAGGTGTGTCTCGGCGTGTTCTGACGTTGACATACACGTCAATCGAGTTCATCCCAGAGGTGTTCCATTGGGTTCAGATCTGTTGCAAAACAGGGACGATAACTGGTCTTCTGGATTGGATTCCAGCCTCGCGAAAATGGTTCCTGCTCAAACCAGGGATGCGTCCTGCAGTCTCCGTAGCTGTGGCATTATGCTTGCCTTTTTATAGCCACTGCCATGAATTACGAATACCATAACATTTTTATACAAGTGTGAAAACAATGCCATTTAAGACATTTCAATTTGACAATGGCTGCGTTTTGATGCACTGTTTGTCGAATATCAGGCCAGCAACAATTTCCAACAACATGTATCCAATTTATATACCGGATTTTTTGTCAGGTTCAATGAACTACATACTACCTGTGCGTTGCTTTTTTTTAAGAGTGTAAGTGCCTGCCAAAGGCCTTTGGCAGGTAAATTATAGTCTGGAAGTTAATTTAAGGTACCGACGTTTACTACAATATCTGAAAAACCATTGGACCTGCTCCAGTCAAAGTTGATATGAGATTATGAAACAGTCATACATAACTGGATATTACATTTATAGACAATCGGTGCATGAATAAAAAATCTGTCTATTTAGCTATCACTATATTTCATCAACAACCAGACCTGTTCGTCACGGGTGGAACGAGCATTCATTGTTACAGCCATCTGCATAATGCTACCCCTGCATCACAGGGCCATATGACACAGTTGAACCAATCAACTCAACTCGAAAGGTTGCACGGGAATCACGCATGCACGAATACGGTGTTAGCGCTGGGCGTCTCAAGCAGTTATTTAATAATATTTATCCAATTATTTTTGCATTCTTTTTCAGGTCAGTGTTATTGACTTGAATGTATCATTCCTTGCCACATTATTATATTTCATGCATCATATTATTAGCTGTAATATATCATACCTAATTATTCATTTAGACAAATCATTGCTTTATACAAAGCACGAACCTGAAATTCGTAGACAATTTCTAGAAATTCGTTGATAAATAAATGTTTTCTCACAAATCCCATGAACTACAAGAATGTTTGGGAATCAAATAAGATATATTTAAGATTCTTAAGAAATGATTAAGAATATGTACGAATATGTAAGAATTCATATCCGTGGTAATTCGGGCTATTACATGTCGTAGTGAAACAGGGGTATATGTATTGCACTATTCTTGGTCCCACGAAATGCCCTTGTCGTCAGATTCGGAGTCTGTGCTATCACCTAAATGAACAACAACAGGCTGGACAGTATCTGGTCGGATACAGTCTTGTTTACAATACTCTTCCTCAACTTTGAAAACACGTTGGACACAGTTTGCCCAACGTACATCTGTAATTCCTCCCATCCCTTTCAAGACAATCTGCTTGACGTCAGCAAGCTTGAAGGTCTTATTTTGCCGTGCGACCATATTTTTCAAATCACCCCTGATTAGTTCGATGGGATACAAGTCACAATGGTAAGGAGGAAGTCTAAGCACTTTGTGACCGTGTTCTCTCAACATGTTGTCAATCAAATAAGAGGGCGGGGGTTTGTTCTGAAGAACTAGTTGGTAGTAGTCAGTTTTTTGGGCTTTTGTGGGCCGAGCAATGCGGTTGTTGTCCAACCACTGACATATCTCACCTTTTGTGGAATTTGAGATTTGACAATGGTTAATAGGATCTTGACAACTGTGATAGCTAGGGAGCATTGTCCATAACCACCAAGGACTTATCAGGCAGTGCTAAGAGGAGCTGCTCCTCAACATACGCAGTGAAAACCTGACTATTCATCTCAGTATGGTAGTCTCTGCCATCTGTAGATCTGGATCTGAACACTAGGTCACACCCAGGGAGTACACCTCTGTGGGAGCCTGCATGGAGGACAATCAGGCACTCCCCTTTACCAGGGGGGATCTTGCGCTGTGGCTCTCTGGTATCTGGGTGAGACCATTGGTAAGCCGCTGTGTGGCAGGCGTTTACCCAGGTTTCATCCAAATAGACAGGCTCATAGCCCTCTTCTCGTTTCTTAATAGTGCGCAAACAATTGATACGCAAACGAATGATATCTTGTCACATTGCTAGTTTCAACCCTTTCGTATTTTTGTACTGATATCCAAATTTGGAAAGGAGTTTACAAATGGTCCATTTGGAAATATCTAAGTCATGCTCTGTAAGGAGAATTTGTTTTTGTTTTCGTGTTGAAATAAATTCATTTTCTCGTGTTAACCACCGACTCACGTCCCTGACAACTTTCTTATCGAAGGAATCTAACTTTAATTTCCTATCCTGTTTTGAGATGCCCCTAAGGGATGTGCAGGGGAGCATGTGTTTTTATGAGAGTTTAAAATCTGAACTGCGGTTTGTTTGGGAAGCTGTAACTCATGAATTGTTCTTTTCATGTACTTTGAAATGTCAGAGAAGGGCGAACATCTTTCACTTTCGGCCTTAAAGTATTCAAATATTGTAACAACGAAACCGTTCGCATCAGCGGAGAGAAGCTTGCGTTGAGACATCACAAAATCTAATGCTAACACCAGATTCATGCGTACGTGATTCCCGTGCAACCTTTCGAGTTGAGTTGATTGGTTCAACTGTGTCATATGGCCCTGTGATGCAGGGGTAGCATTATGCAGATGGCTGTTACAATGAATGCTCGTTCCACCCGTGACGAACAAGTCTGGTTGTTGATGAAATATAGTGATAGCTAAATAGACAGATTTTTTATTCATGCACCGATTGTCTATAAATGTAATATCCAGTTATGTATGACTGTTTAATAATCTCATATCAACTTTGACTGGAGTAGGTCCAATGTTTTTTCAGATATTGTAGTAAACGTCGGTACCTTAAATTAACTTTCAGACTATACATGTCGAGCCCATAGTTTCAAATTTGTATGGGTCCTTATGGCCTACAGTAAATTTACGTGTCGATTTATTTGCCACAATAAGCTGCAGATCTGAAGAGTTTAGTCAGGGCCCGCAGCTTCCAAGGTCCTGCTGGCAGCCTGGCAATTTTTTTATACTTCAAGCCCTGGTCTAGTGGACTAAAAATATTAGTTTCTATCGCTGTGTCAGTGTTTAAGTGTGCCCATGTCTGATCTTTATTATCTAAAGTGTGTTGGTGGTGCATATTTATTTATTATTGTGTGAGGACAGACCGGAGGATGCCGCCATATCTCCATGTTATATTCCAGCTTCCTGTTGCTATGCTGGAAACTACTCGTGTACAAATGAAGCTAATTCCGTCACAAGAATTGAAGGAGTTGATTCAGGATCAATATACACTCTGCTTGAAGGACAGACATTCTATGATAACAACTATAACTGTCGGTGGCTGATAGACGCAGGTGCCGGGAACAGGGTCCATGTGACGGTGGTCATGTCGGACCTGCAGTGGGCACCTGAGAGTGCGATCTGCACCGGCGGCTACGACTATCTGCATGTCAGGGATGGTAAGAACAAATTGATGTTTCCATTGCTACTGTAGTTATTGTGCTGATGTGACAGGTGTTACTGTAGTTATTGTGCTGATGTGACAGATGCTACTGTAGTTATTGTGCTGATGTGACAGATGTTACTGTAGTTATTGTGCTGATGTGACAGGTGTTACTGAAGTTATTGTGCTTATGTGACAGGTGTTACTGTAGTTATTGTGCTGATGTGACAGGTGTTACTGGGGTTATTGTGCTGATGTGACAGGTGCTACTGTAGTTATTGTGCTGATGTGACAGGTGTTACTGTAGTTATTGTGCTGATGTGACAGGTGTTACTGTAGTTATTGTGCTGATGTGACAGATGTTACTGTGGTTATTGTGCTGATGTGACAGATGTTACTGTGGTTATAGTGCTGATGTGACAGATGCTATTGTAGTTATTGTGCTGATGTGACAGGTGTTACTGTAGTTATTGTGCTGATGTGACAGGTGCTACTGTAGTTATTGTGCTGATGTGACAGGTGTTACTGTGGTTATTGTGCTGATGTGACAGGTGTTACTGTAGTTATTGTGCTGATGTGACAGATGTTACTGTAGTTATTGTGCTGATGTGACAGGTGCTACTGTGGTTATTGTGCTGATGTGACAGGTGTTACTGTGGTTATTGCGGTGATGTGACAGGTGCTACTGTGGTTATTGCGGTGATGTGACAGGTGTTACTGTGGTTATTGTGCTGATGTGACAGATGTTACTGTGGTTATTATGCTGATGTGACAGGTGTTAATGTGGTTATTGTGCTGATGTGACAGGTGTTACTGTAGTTATCTCGATTAGATGCAACTGTAGTTATTTTGTATCAGGTGCTACTGTAATTAATAGTTATTGTGCTGATGTGACAGGTGTTACTGTAGTTATTATCATATGTCAGGTGCTACTGTAGTTGTTATCACATGTCAGGTGATACTGTAGTTGTTATCATATGTCAGGTGTTATTGTAGTTGTTATCATATGTCAGGTGCTATTGTAGTTGTTATCATATGTCAGGTGCTATTGTAGTTGTTACCATATGTCAGGTGCTACTGTAGTTGTTATCATATGTCAGGTGCTACTGCAGTTGTTATCATATGTCAGGTGATACTGCAGTTGTTATTATATGTCAGGTGTTACTGTAGTTGTTATCATATGTCAGGTGCTACTGCAGTTGTTATCATATGTCAGGTGCTACTGTAGTTGTTATCATATGTCAGGTGTTACTGTAGTTGTTATCATGATGTGTCAGGTGCTACTGCAGTTGTTATCATATGTCAGGTGCTACTGCAGTTGTTATCATATGTCAGGTGCTACTGTAGTTGTTATCATGATATGTCAGGTGCTAATGTGGTTGTTATCATATGTCAGGTGCTATTGTAGTTGTTATCATATGTCAGGTGCTACTGCAGTTGTTATCATATGTCAGGTGCTACTGCAGTTGTTATCATATGTCAGGTGCTACTGCAGTTGTTATCATATGTCAGGTGCTAATGTGGTTGTTATCATATGTCAGGTGCTAATGTGGTTGTTATCATATGTCAGGTGCTATTGTAGTTGTTATCATATGTCAGGTGTTACTGTAGTTGTTATCAAATGTCAGGTGCTACTGCAGTTGTTATCATATGTCAGGTGCTACTGCAGTTGTTATCATATGTCAGGTGCTACTGTAGTTGTTATCATATGTCAGGTGCTACTGCAGTTGTTATCATATGTCAGGTGTTACTGTAGTTGTTATCAAATGTCAGGTGCTACTGCAGTTGTTATCATATGTCAGGTGCTACTGCAGTTGTTATCATATGTCAGGTGCTACTGTAGTTGTTATCATGATATGTCAGGTGCTACTGTAGTTGTTATCATGATGTGTCAGGTGCTACTGCAGTTGTTATCATGATGTGTCAGGTGCTACTGTAGTTGTTATCATGATGTGTCAGGTGCTACTGTAGTTGTTATCATGATGTGTCAGGTGCTATTGTAGTTGTTACCATATGTCAGGTGCTACTGTAGTTGTTATCATATGTCAGGTGCTATTGTAGTTGTTATCATATGTCAGGTGCTACTGCAGTTGTTATCATGATATGTCAGGTGCTACTGCAGTTGTTATCATATGTCAGGTGCTACTGTAGTTATTATCATATGTCAGGTGCTACTGCAGTTGTTATCATATGTCAGGTGTTACTGTAGTTGTTATCAAATGTCAGGTGCTACTGCAGTTGTTATCATATGTCAGGTGCTACTGTAGTTGTTATCATATGTCAGGTGCTACTGTAGTTGTTATCATGATATGTCAGGTGCTACTGCAGTTGTTATCATGATATGTCAGGTGCTACTGCAGTTGTTATCATGATGTGTCAGGTGCTACTGCAGTTGTTATCATGATGTGTCAGGTGCTACTGTAGTGGTTATCATGATGTGTCAGGTGCTACTGTAGTTGTTATCATGATGTGTCAGGTGCTACTGCAGTTGTTACCATATGTCAGGTGCTACTGTAGTTGTTATCATATGTCAGGTGCTATTGTAGTTGTTATCATATGTCAGGTGCTACTGCAGTTGTTATCATGATATGTCAGGTGCTATTGTAGTTGTTATCATGATATGTCAGGTGCTACTGCAGTTGTTATCATGATGTGTCAGGTGCTACTGCAGTTGTTATCATGATGTGTCAGGTGCTACCTGTAGTTGTTATCATGATATGTCAGGTGCTACTGTAGTTGTTATCATGATGTGTCAGGTGCTACTGTAGTTGTTATCATGATGTGTCAGGTGCTATTGTAGTTGTTACCATATGTCAGGTGCTACTGTAGTTGTTACCATATGTCAGGTGCTACTGCAGTTGTTACCATATGTCAGGTGCTACTGTAGTTGTTATCATATGTCAGGTGCTATTGTAGTTGTTATCATATGTCAGGTGCTACTGCAGTTGTTATCATGATATGTCAGGTGCTATTGTAGTTGTTATCATGATGTGTCAGGTGCTACTGCAGTTGTTATCATGATATGTCAGGTGCTATTGTAGTTGTTATCATGATATGTCAGGTGCTACTGCAGTTGTTATGATATGTCAGGTGTTATTGTAGTTGTTATCATGATGTGTCAGGTGCTATTGTAGTTGTTATCATATGCCAGGTGCTACTGTAGTTGTTATCATATGTCAGGTGCTACTGTAGTTGTTATCATATGTCAGGTGCTACTGTAGTTGTTATCATATGTCAGGTGCTATTGTAGTTGTTATCATATGTCAGGTGCTACTGCAGTTGTTATCATGATATGTCAGGTGCTATTGTAGTTGTTATCATATGTCAGGTGCTACTGTAGTTGTTATCATGATATGTCAGGTGCTACTGTAGTTGTTATCATGATGTGTCAGGTGTTATTGTAGTTGTTATCATACGTCAGGTGCTACTGCAGTTGTTATCATATGTCAGGTGCTACTGTAGTTATTATCATATGTCAGGTGCTATTGTAGTTGTTATCATATGTCAGGTGCTACTGTAGTTGTTATCATATGTCAGGTGCTATTGTAGTTATCATATGTCAGGTGCTACTGTAGTTGTTATCATATGTCAGGTGCTATTGTAGTTGTTTTCATGATCTGTCAGATGCTATTGGGTTGTTATCATGATCTGTTGGGTGCTAATGTCATGCTGATACTTCAGGAAAGGATGAGACTTCCCCGACTATCGTCCTGTGGTGTGGGTCACGCAACCCCTACAGTATGACCAGCACGGGGCAGTACATGTCCGTGACATTCCAGTCCAATGGCAATAACCCGTACAACTATAGAGGGGCGAACCTCAAGTTTCAGGTGTTTGGTAAGTGTGTATTCTCGCTGAATTATGAAAAAGACTGTTGGATATAGCAACAACAGTTTGATTCTCTATTCTTTTTATGTTCATTTGATTGTAAAACTTGATATAGTATGCACTTACTCTGAAACAACATTCCCTAAAAAAATAACTCCATATTATTGTTTATTGTTTACATGTGGTGCATGGACTATGGTGCCTTACTGTTCACTGTCTTGTTGTAGATCGAGGTTCATGTCTGCCTGGATGGTCAAGTCTGTCACCTACACATTCCTTCTGTTACAAACTGATGACTCACACCGAGACCTGGAGCACGGCACAGATGTTCTGTAATTACAACCAGGCAAACCTTGCTGTCATTCACACTCAGAGGCAACAAGACTACCTCAAGAGTATGTATCTCACCATCACATAGAAGCAACAAGACTATTAATTTTGTGTGGATGTTCGTTACTTTGAGGGATGTTTACGTTTGCTCAAGGCATAAAAAATTGGAATTTCAATATGGCCGCCAGGTAGGCCATATATGATTTAAGATAAATAAATTAAATAATCTCCTTCTCCAGGACTTAAGGGGCCAAAGTTCTGACACAAGGTGAGATGATCACCCCATGTGGTATCAAGATTATTCAAGGCATCTTGACTAGAAATTAAATATAGCTGCCAGCAGTCCCATTGGAAACTATGAAGAATTGAGTGTCATCCGTTGAAAACATTTGCTCAGAAACCATTGGACCGGTGAAGCTGAAACTTCACATGCTTGTTAACCCCCGCCCCAACGAAGTTGGCGGGGGATATAGAAATGGGTTTCGTCTGTGTGTGTGTGTGTGTGCGTGTGTGCGTGTGTGCGTCCCGAAATCGTTTCCGGAGCATAACTCAGAAACCGTTAAATATTTCTCTACGAAACTTTGCATGTCTATCAGACTCATGCTGAACTGGTGCCTTTTGCTATTTAGGAATTTTATAAATTTTTATTTTTTACGTTTCCATGGCAACAAGTTGGACTTAGGTTCTATAAGGGTGGTGTTCGTTTACGGAGCATAACTCAAAACCCATTCAATACTTTCTAACAAAAACTTTGCATGTTTACCAGACACATACTGGACTGGTGCCTCTTGCTATTTAGGAATTTTAGATAAAAAATAATTTCACGTTTCCATGGCAATAAGTTGGACTTAGGTTCTACAGGGGTGGTGTTCGTTTCCAGAGCATAACTCAAAAACCGTTAAATACTTTCTTACAAAACTTTGCATGTCTACCAGGCACATACTGAACTGGTGCCTTTTGATATATAGCACTTTTAGAAGTTTTTATTGTTTATGTTTCCATGACAACAAGTTGGATTTAAGTTTTAATATAGGATTGGTTTACTTAAGGAGTGTAACAAATAAACTGTTAAATATTTCCTTGCCAAACATTGCATGTCTATATATAAAGCGCATACTGAACTAGTGCCATTTGATGTTAAGGAGTTTTAGAAATGTTTATTTTAGAATTTCAATTGCAACTATTTTACATCGGCTAAGAGAAATGTTGGGTCAGTTACCTGGTTTGGGACCATAACATGTTAAAATGGGTGGGGGATATAGATGACTTTGTCAACTATATGCTTGTTCCCAGCAATAATGACACATGAATTTGTTGAAGAGACTTGGTATTCATCTGGCAACATTGACAAAGTTATTTATGGCCATTGCTCTGTCCTATTTGTTCAAAATGTAATGACATTTGGCACACATGTAGTTAGTAATGGACATCAACACATTCATGATTTGTTCTTGGTTTTTTAATATTTAAAATGTTCACCTAGATTTGACCTTTGCACTTGACCTTTGCACTTGACCATACTGACAGCTGTAACTTCTTTTGGCAATTTCTCAGCTGTTTTGTTTCAGAATGTCATGAAATATGTTACATGCAGGTAACAGTGGGGCTGAAACTGTATGCCCCGGTTTTCATTATAATTTAAAGTTTAATCTTGTTTTGAGCTTGCAGTTTGGACCATGCTCTTAGATTCTCTCAATATCCATTTCTTTGCCATGTAAAGAGCATCTTCTCAGAAACCAATGGACCAACAACCTAAAACAGTTGTTCTGTTTTATTTGCATATTTTAACATTTTTACCATTGCACCTCGACAAGACTGAAAACTGAAACTTAAGGCCATTTTGTTTCACTGGTACATGTATATATTGTTTTCGTAGATGTGTAGTTTGTTGTGGATTCAACACATGTGTTCTGCATTTTTCAAAATATATGACTTTTATTATTTTATATTTTAATATTCATTATTAAATTATAAAATGCTTTTACATTCTCTCAAAATACAAATTTATCTCTGAAAACAACTTCTCCTCTGAAATTGCCAAAAAGTGGGGGCTGAACTTTGGCATGTATGGTTTGGCAATTATGACATAATTTGTTCTTTCTGAATTTTCCAATTTGTGTTTTAGTCAACAGTATTTATGCAGTGAATATTTGAACATGATTGCTAACAGCAACTTTCGTTAAGTGGCTGTTTTTGTTGACCTTTTTTGAGACTATTGACTACATATCCAGCGCCATGGCACTATATTGTACTCCTCATTTGTGAAAGTCTAGTGTTAGACAGTATCCTGAAGTAGATCCTCTGTGAGTTGGTGTCAATGTTACAGATCTGGTGACGGACAGGGCATGGATAGGTCTCAGCAAGATAGCATCCGAGTCTAAGATGGAGTGGATTGATTTGTCACAGAAAGATGTAGACTTGTAAGTAGCTCCCATCACCACTGTGCTGCATCTACAACAGAACATTGAAAGTAGCCGAGATAATTGTACTTATGACTCTTCATCTTCAGCTGCTTTTCCTCAATATCAGAAAAGATGGTGAGGCTTTTAGATTTTGAATTGATTTAGAAATTGATAATAACCCTGCAAGACTGGTTTCATGGAGGTGTCAGGTCTCCAACAACTGCAGTTTGGTCTACCTGTAGTTTAATTACAGTCCTATTCTAGGATGTGCCACTTGTTATAGTTACAACACACCAAGACGAGTTGTTTGGGCAGTAAGAGCACGGTTTGGCTTGGCATTTGATTGACAGACAAAAGGACCAAGGGGCGGAGCCTTCCAACCGTTTTTAACTTTTAATCTAATTGTTAATCAAGGGTTAACTTTGGAATTTTCAAAGGCACATTAGAAATTTCTAACTATTAATTTTCCGAATTTAGCAAAATGCGTTCTGTGTCCAGTTGTTTTTATGTTTGACAGTTAAATTGTAATCTTTTGATAAAGTTATAAACATTTCTATTGTTTTTTGTTGTTTATTTACGTTATTACTCTTGAACACTGTGTACAACAGTAAAGAAACATTGTTGTAACTACCATGATACAGCACGGGTAAGATCAAAGGTACCGCTCGCAACCCGTGCTACAAGTTTTGAATACAGAACTGAGTATTTTCAAGATTTGTTTTGATTTATGTCAAATTTCTGATCCACTTTTCAGTTTTGCAACACATGACTTTCAGAGTAATGAAGACTGTGTTCTGGTAGACAAGGACAGCGGGAAGTGGCAAACGGCCGACTGCTCTCGTATTACAGCATACTTTGTGTGCCAGACCAACAAACGTGAGTAGGCCCTGTTATAACACTGTACATAACCTCCACTGACACACAGTAGAACACTATGTTCGTCTGTGACATTAAACAGAATAAAGTAAGGAAGTACTCATGTAATTGCAACACTGTTGTAATATAAAAAATCACTCTCATTATAGTTATAATGATGACTATTTGTGAAACTCTACGTTTTTTTTATCATAATTGCAGAAGAAAGCACTACCATCTACCCTATTCCTGAAGGCAAAAAAGAAGTTGGTGAGTTTATTTACAATATTCAGACCATGTTTTGTTTTGTTTGTTTGTTGTTAAATGCCGCACTCAGCAATATTCCAGCTATATGATGGCGGTCTGTAAATAATCGAGTCTGGACCAGACAATCCAGTGATTAATATCCTGAGCATTGATCCACGCAATTGGGACCGATGATATGCATCAACCAAGTCAGCGAGCCTACAACCCGATCCCGTGAGTCACCTTTTACGACAAGCATAGTCGCCTTTTACGGCAAGCATAGTCGCCTTTTACGGCAAGCATGGGTTGCTGAAGACCTATCAGACCATGACATTGTGTTCTACAATTATGACATTGTGTTCTACAATTATATCATATCTCACAGAAAAGGCCCTCATCAACCAAAGATACATACAGATAAATGTGATGCGGCAAACTGGATTGAGTGGGCAGGCTTGGTGACATGGTTAGGGCATGTCATAGTGTATATATCTGCATATATCATGCTCATGTTGTCAATCACTGGATTGTCTTGACCAGACTCTTTTTTGTAATATTATTTACAGACCGCCGTCCTATACCTGGTATATTGTTGAGTGAGGCGTTAATCAAACATGCGTACAAACTTAAATTATAATTATTATTTGTTTATTTTTATTTTTTTAGAAGCCTAAATTACGTTGGGTGGTCAGGCTTGGTAACCTGGTTGACTGGGTGTGATTATACCCAAACAATGTGTCATATCATGATATCAACCATAGGGCTGGGACGATACACCAACTGTGAGGTCCGATACGTATCGCGATACCTTACTCGTGATCTGATATGTATCACGATACACCAACCGTGAGGTCCGATACGTATGGCGATACCTTACTCACGATCCGATATGTATCTTGATACTTGCATGTGCTCTTCTCTGTGGTGCATAAGCCATCTTTTTCATAGACAGGATGGCAAAATACCTGGCACACTGATGATTTACACTGAGCAGTGTCAAGTATGGCACAACAAATGAAAATATTTATGTTTTCACTATTAACTTAGACTACTGATTAATGTTATGGAACAGTTATTAAAGCAAACATTTAAGGTCAGAATCGATATGTTTTACTTAGTGTGTGACTGTGATCGATGCTTGTGATCAAGAAGTAAACAATCATGATGCACCGGTGTATCGTCCCACCACTAAGCAACTACTGTCTTGTCTGGCCCTGACTCATTTATTTAGGGTTCACACAGGCTTGATAAGGTCTATAACTTTAATGTCTGTCTTGAAAAGAGTAATACTGTATTCGACGTTATAAGCGCCCAGGGCGCTCTCGAAATTAGAAACAGGGGGCTCTTATTAGAATGTTATTTTGGTGGAAAAAACAGAGTTGAAAGATAAATTTCGTGGTTTATGCTGACAGCCTGAAATGTTTATGTACGATAGATGTATTTTTCCAGAATTAAATGCCCATAATTAAGGGTGCGTAAAACACACGAGTGCATATTATACGCGAATAAATAAGTCTTGTGTACATTGATCACTCGGAAGGGGTGCTGATTGGGATTGTTCAATTGCCAATATCTTAGCAAAAGACGCCGTGCGGGGCGTTGCGGGGCGCTTATTACGTCGAATACGGTCGATTAGATGCTGCCTTGCAATGGCCTTCAGAATGATCTGTTCTTCGTCAGTAACCATAGAGGTATCTACCCTTGGATGCTTGTGTTAGAGTTGAATGTTCCCGAATCTGTGGCAGAGGGAGGCAGCCTTCTTCAGACCTTGAAGTAGCCCTGAATTATGTTTCTACACTCTATACAAACCCTGATAGAGCTGACTGCAGTGTTACACAACAAACAAACAAAAGTCTTCAACAATTCCTTACTCTCCAACCCATGGAGATCCGGGTGAGGATTAATTTTCAGCATCCCAATGCTTGTCGTAAGAGGCGACTAACGGGATCGGGTTGTCAGGCTCGCTGACTTGGTTGATGCATGTCATCGTATCCCAATAGCATGGATCGATGCTCATGATGTCAATCACTGGATTGTCTAGTCACGACTCGAATTTTTACAGACCGCTATCATATAGCTGGAATATTGCTGAGTGCAGCGTTAAACAACAAACCAGCCTAACAAATTCTTACTCTCCATGACTTCTGTTTCCAGAAGAACAGTCGGGGCTGTCCATCATCCTGGCCGCCGTACTGGGCAGTGTGGTGGTCATCGCAGCGATCATCGCAGCAGCCATCATATATCTGAAATGCTTTGCAAAGAGACGCCAGGAACAAAGTGCCTCAGGAACAAGTACATCGCAAAACAATGATAACCAATCTGAAATGACAACTCGAAATGGTTCTCAAGATTGTAGCAACCCTCCCGTGGCTCGTTCCCTGCTTCCGTCCGCACCTGACATGTATGCAGTGGACATAAGGCATCCAGATGTGGCCCCGCCCACCTACGAGGAGACAGTGCAAAATGATGGCTTGAAGGGGTCATATATTTGACAGTTTAACTGTGATACCCTCTATACCATTAACCATCACTCAGGACCATGTTTTTATACTATTAGAGCATCAGCCATGCTTTCACTTGCCTCACGAATGGTGTTATTACATGAATACATCGTTATCAGAACATTGCAAAGTGTTATTAATATATATATGAAGCATGTATGATTGGGTAAGGGACAAGTTTATAAGTTCGATGTCAGATAAAAATCATATATCCTTAGGTTTAGGAGTGTGTGTGTGGGGGGGGGTTAAGTGTAGGATAAAGTATGTCCGAGGGTTTTTATGATATTAAAACCGCGGGTTAAGGATTTTGAATATCATAAAAACTCGAGGGGAAGTGTTTCATCTAAGTAATAAACTGAAAAAAGAAACTAAATACATTTATCAACATTTTTATGTTTCAAACATACTTTCCATGATTCTTAGGAAACGGGCGTAAACTATCTGTTGCTGGCGTATGGCACTTGAAAAAGACATTCTTAAAAACATTGTGATTTATCAGCGCCTCTGTAGCCTTGTGGTACACTCACTGGGCTACAGATACGAAGGTTGCGCGTTCGATCCTGGGGAATACAAAAGAAAACAATTTTCATTTGATTTTTCATTTCATTACATTGAGTTCAAATGCAAAATAAATTTCCAGCGAGAAACATTTATATTGATAAAATCCCTGTTGTATTGATAAAATCCCTGCGTTATTATATAAAATCCTGGGGATAGTATAACATCCCTGTTTATGAGATTCAACCCGACTGGAGAACAATAGCATGATGTCACTGGAGGTTGATAATGGCCCTGCAAGTTTTCCATCCAACAAGATCAACTGACTGATTTCTCCAGGTTTTACATAGTAACTAAACTGATATGTTGTTTAGAGTCATCAAATATATCCAGTGTATATATCTAAATATATCCAGTGTATATATCCTTCCACAAGTTAGGGTTTTATCATCCCTGCCACTGGCAGTAGTGGTAAGTCCATCTAGTGCAGGGTGTAATATGGAAGGGCAGATTTGATCTATTAAAAGACAAGTTATTTTCAACACCCAGTAAAATAAACATGAGTCAGTAAACATTCTGATATAGCAGGGCACGACACAACAATTCTTGGCAAAAGAGGCCACAAAACTCAGGACATCAACATTTTCAGAATTAAGTATTTTTGGGGATTTGGGGGTATGTCTCAAAACTAAAGGTATTAAGTTTTTTGTCTGACATCAAACTTTTGAGCTGGTCCCTAATGTACATTTTGTGTGTGTGTGTGTGTGTGTGTGTGTGTGTGTGTGTGTGTGTGTGTGTGTGTGTGTGTCTGTCTGTCTGTCTGTCTGTCTATCTGCCTGTCTGCCTGTCTGTCTGCCTGTCTGTCTGTCTGTCTGCCTGCCTGTCTGCCTGTCTGTCTGTCTGTCTGTCTGTCTGCCTGTCTGTCTGCCTGCCTGCATGTCTGTCTGTCTGTTGGTTGCTCACCCTTCTAGATCTGTAATTAGGCTCCGCTACATTTGTACAAAAAGATATCATTTTTACAACTGAGTTTATATCAAAATACGTTTTTTCAGATGCGTTTTATGCCTTTCTGAAGTCTTAGTATCCTGTCCATCTATTTTTCTATAACTGTATATATTGACATTATGGTGTTTTGTACAAATAAGGTGTGTTTGACTTTAGTATATCCCAGTGTATTCTCTACAATATTATACCTGCAATTTTAGCTACAATATTCATGCTGAACCATGAACAGATTTGTTTGTCCTGTTTGTGAAGACAGATGATAGTTCTTATTGTATATAGACATGACTTACAATATTATTTGTAACATGTTATCTGGAGTATGATACATATCACAGCACCATCACTCATATTGCCTGGTTGATTACTAGACACATGGTCACATCTTCGTTTGACGAGTTTTACTGAGATTTTCCCTGTGTTGATAATACTTGCATGTACATGTCAATATTGTGCTGTTGTTATAACCTGGTCGGTACGCATCAGTATTGTGCTGTTGTTTAAACCTGGTCGCAACGCATCAGTATTGTGCTGTTGTTATAACCTGGCTGGTACACATCAGTATTGTGCTGTTGTTATAACCTGGCTGGTACACATCAGTATTGTGCTGTTGTTATAACCTGGTCGGTAGACATCAGTATTGTGCTGTTGTCATAACCTGGTCGGTAGACATCAGTATTGTGCTGTTGTAATAACCTGGCTGGTACACATCAGTATTGTGCTGTTGTTATAACCTGGTCGGTAGACATCAGTATTGTGCTGTTGTTATAACCTGGTCGGTAGACATCAGTATTGTGCTGTTGTAATAACCTGGCTGGCAACATCAGTATTGTGCTGTTGTTATAACCTGGTCGGTACACATCAGTATTGTGCTGTTGTAATAACCTGGCTGGTACACATCAGTATTGTGCTGTTGTTATAACCTGGTCAGTACAAATCAGTATTGTGCTGTTGTTATAACCTGGTCAGTACACATCAGTAATGTGCTGTTGTTATAACCTGGTCAGTACAAATCAGTATTGTGCTGTTATCGCAGTTGTTAAAGCCTTGTAAGCCATTGTTTGTCAGGTTACAACAAGAACAGATTGTTTATATGGTATGAGATGCATATTGTACATGATGTAAAGTTGTTCCTTATATTATACAGTAAACTATGTTTATAACAAACATGCTTATAAGAAACTGATGGATATAACAAACCTTTTTTTGGTTATGGTCTTTTGCCTTATACAGTGGTCCCTCGCTACAACGCTACCAATGGGGTCCAAATAATTCGTGGGCGTTATAGACGATGAGCCGTTTAACCGAGGCCGAGGCGGGGGAGCGCGCTCAGCAAATCTCAAATCATCAATGTGTTTATCTCACGTCACGTCAAAATAGTATATATTTTTATGGACCTAGATCTACCTACCTGTAATTATATATGCTTATAATGAACTATGGTTATAACGATTGAAAATTAGTGGTCCCCTTGAGTTCGTTATAACCATAGTTTAATGTATACCTAAAAGAGATTATACTTATCAATTGTACCTAGTGGGCAAGTGGAGGATTCGCAGTGTTGATCCCTCCAGAACACACCGTCCACTGCTGTGTGTGTCTCACTGAGTCAGTTGTCACACCACAAACTACTGCTGCCAACATGGTCACTTCTGATGGAAATCATACACCAATATTTCAGATGTTGGACTGGCGAATAGATTGAAGATATCTGTACATTGAAGAAAACAGAGTTCAACTGTATGTCATTATGAGAGCTTTGGAATCGGCGAAGACCTTTTGTTAGACAGAGTGTTGCAAACTGCCAAGCTTCTGGAAGGTGATCTGTGTCTCTATTGTAGTGATGCTTTCTCGTTGTGATTGTCTGTGGTCCTTACCCTGGCTATAGACTCCCCCTCAAAAGAAACACATATGTGGTTTTCTAGAGATTCATTCTGTGACTTCTGCAAAGCTTTAGGAGTATATAATAAAGTGAGTTCATCAGATGTTAATGGAGAAGTCTTGGCATCGGCTGGTTTCGTCACAGTCTCAAGCATGGCAGTCGTAAAGCCGAAGTACCGTGTGTGTCCACCATTTGCAGCAATGACTGCATGACATGGAATCAAGAACCCTGCATATGACACCTTGTGGAATGGTAGCCCATATTCCGGAAGAACTTGGCATAATTCCTACAGATTCTGTTGCCCTGGTTAATGTATACATCTGTCTTGGTCATCACACAGATGGTTGGTTGGGTTGTGATCTGATGACCTTGACAACCACGCCAGTGTTTTACTGATAAAGTGACTCATACAATTTCATTGTATTCAATGTGAATTTTGATAGCTGTACAATAGTAGGTTTATGATTAGATGACATCAGGCGAACAAAGGATTCCAGTGTTGGATTTACAAAGTATTTAGGATCAATGTATCGATATCTTAAATCGTTAAAAGTAGGGCATACAAGTGCAAAATGATATTCATTTTCCACTAGACTAATATTTAATCGAAGACAATATTTACACAAGCGACATTCTGGATCGATGGCTCTGCGTCTGCCCATTTCAATCATCAACTGATTGAATCATCTAAATCTTGACAGCGCTTGTTTCAGTAGTGTAGAGTCGACTTGTGTAAGATATACTTCGGTCTGTAAAACTGATTTGTAGGTTGAATATGCCATTAGCTTTGGATTCGATGATATTAATGAATGCCATTGTTGGATGTTGTAATCGGATACATGTTGCTTAAAGTGAGACATAAAAAGATAAACATGTCCATCATCTTGCATAATCCAGGCGTAGCCGAAACCAAACTGGAATAAGATATGTTTTATTTTAGTTGCCCAGGAAGTTCTGTTTACACAACCAATACATACAGCATAAAATACGGTTGCATCGGAAGTCAGCCATTATTCATAGTGCCATGTTGTGGATCCAACCAAAGTCGGCAATTGTACTCTGGGCAATGTTGCAATGCCTTGCCATTGCTGCTTGTGATTTATGTTTCAAGTCCATCCAAATTAATAAAATCGGAGCTTTTACTCTGAATAAACACCTCTCTGAGAACCCCTCCATAGGAGGTGAAAACAAGCTTTCCTGAATATACATTTCTGAGCTCCATAGTATCTACTGGAATACTTTCCATCCTATAAATTTACTTTTGAAAATATTGCTTCCTCCTTATTTGGGTTTCTTAACTGGAAGAGAGCATATGTGTCACTGCTTAAACCTTGTCACGATATGGCTGAAATATTGCCAATGTGACGTAAAGCATTAACTCACTCACTCACTGCTTAAACATTGTTGTGAAGATATTAGCTTCAGAGAACATTGGTCATTTTCAACATCAGCACATCTGAAACAGTCTGAAACATTAGGCTCGCCTTTCTAATAAACCTCCTTACCCTATCCTCCCCTTGCATGCACACACACAAAAAAAAGCACAGAAATTCTGCCTGAAGTGGGTGTTTCTGTGATGGTAAAGCCGGGATGATATCGTTGGCTCGTCGTGGGTGTGGTTCCCCACACGGGTACATACATTGTTTGATGCATAATCCTGCTGTCCCTACAACAAGGTGTTAGTCTCCCTATTCACACACTTTATGCATCGGTTTCTTTTTTTTGTAGATGCTAAATATCTTTGTGTTTATGTAAATTGTCAATATCAGTTTGTCTGTGGTTGATCAGCAAACATGTACTGGCTAGTCTGATTAACTAGTGAATTATCATCGAGTGTGTGAGAAGGAAATGTTGCTTTGTTTAATCCTGTCACTGTTTAGCCCATGTTCCACATTTTGGTACCAAGGGAAACTATCATGCCCCAGTGTTCATCCAGTGATCCTTGTGTAGTAACAATGGTTACAGGCAAGCTCTTGTGGCCAGCCAGTATTCCCTGTTTAGTAACCATAGTTACAATCAAGCTCCTGTGTCCAGCCAATGTTCCTTGTTTAGTAACTATGGTTACAATCAAGCCCCCATGTCCAACTAATGTTCCCATTTAATTTTGTAACCATGGTTAGTCAAGTTCCTGTGTGCAGCAAATGTTCCTTGTTTAGTAACTGTGTTACAATCAAGCCTCCATGTCCAACCAATGGTTCCTGTTGTAACCATGGTTACAGTCAAGTTCCTGTGTGCAGCAAATGTTCCTTGTTTAGTAACTGTGATACAATCAAGCCCCTCTGTTAAGCCAATGGTCCAAGCTTCTGATCTTGTCCTTCACTTCTGCCTCTACTAATGGCAGCAAACTGTGGTATGGATGCCCTGTCATCAAATACTGGTACATGTAGTTGATTCAGACATTTCTTAACAAGATGACTGCAACAATGCCATTTACCTATACAACTATACATGTATGCCAGTGAGACCTTGATGTTTACTGTGCCTGTCCCACTATAAAAATGTATACCACCAACCTTCACCTTTGTTAGTCCTTGAACTTTACACTGCCAGATGCAAAATAAGTCGTATGTTTGATATATGAGATTTTCGTTGCTGTACAATTTTATAGTCTGTGATACATTTACACACAATTTTCAATACATTGACATATTTATGGTACACATTCTTATATCCACGACTGTATTTCTTGACAAAGATAAGAAAAGAACTCAAATAGGATGTATGTGTAATAATGTCTTTTCTGAATAGTTATCAATGTATTCCAATCTCATTAAAATAAGATCTTAGTTCTCTCTACCGCTAAACAATGATCTGAGGACATCCCATTACGGGTCACGTCAGAACGACCTTGCGCAAACTTTGACCGACCAATGGAATGACCAATCAGAAGGCAGCTTTCTCGTGCTTTACGGCACTAATTTCAAATTGGCGACTACGCTTCGAAACATATTTTGACAAATTCTCGATTACAAATTTGAAACCTGAACAAAAGAACATTCTGGAATGGCTAATAGATGGTCTAGATTGTATGGATAGTCGTTAAACCTGTAACTATCGTTGGGAGTTAAAGTTTTCGAGGCTGCATGATCAGCAATCACATTCCGACTGTCACTTTAATGATCTGGTAAGCGACGCTCTGATTGGTTGGATGAAAGGTCGTTCTGACTTGACCCATAATGGGATATCCTCAGATCTTTGTTAAGTGATAGTGAGAACTAAGATCTTATTTTAATGAGATTGCAATGTATTCCAACACAAAGTATAACCTGTCTACATCCTCCATTACCCAGTGTGGTGCATCTCCACTCCCCTGGGCCCAGTCTCTACCACAGCTTCATCGTCAGTCCTGTTTACATGACAACAATAATAGCCGTCCAATTAAATTACAATTGTGAGAGAAGAAATCCTCGGAATTCGGTGATGAGAGATGAAGATCGCTTCCCCCCAAAAAGCTGTGGTAGCAACTGTGTTCATTATGATACATCGGGGATGTTGGAGGAGGGTGCCACTGTGCGTTGACCTGTTTGCTCATTTCCTTTGTACTACTTTTATATGTTTAAATACATCGATCAATAAAGACATAAGTTGATAACAGCTTTAATTTTGTTTGTGGGTGTCAGTGAGTGAGTGAGTTGAGTTTAACGCCACAGTTTAACAGTATTACAGTTATATTGTGGCGTGTCAGCTTAATGTGGGAAGAAAGCCTGAAGTGATGCAGGTCTCGGACGTTTACCACTTTGGTGAAGCGCACAAGCACGGGTATGGTGCTGACAAACATATTCTGGGCAAACCAGGATTCGAACCCACAGTCATAGGTTTCTGGCGTGCCCAAGGGACGCAACTCTGTACAGCGAATCATGGCACCTTAGACGACTGGGCCACCCGTGCCCCCTGTGGGTGGTGAGACTCAGCTACATGGTTGGTATCATGTTGTCGTACTCTGGGACTGGATGTTGCTCATTTGAATGTAAAAACACACAGCAGTGGAAATTTAATAATCCCATGTTGCTTCTGACCTACATGGCATCTACACACGTTTTTCTTTTGACAAGATAAACATTTCCAAATTGATAAACTTAGCCGTATTGTTTTAAAAAGCTAACATCAAATTGGCTCAAGAACCAAGCATCCTTTATCTTACAGGGTCCTTTGCTCAGGGTTCACCGGACACAACCTTCTTTGGAGGTGTCAGATCTCAACGTAGTGTTATCATATCTGAATAAAAAATCTGATTTTAGGATCATTGTACAGAAACCCCATGTCGCTCGGGTGTAGTCGTGAATTCTGTGTAACTGAGGTTGTGAATTCAGTCTGAGAAACGACAACTCAATGTTCCCAGTGTGGCATGTTTATTGCATGTGTTTCCAGGTTACAGACATTAGCTAAGACAGATCTTGTATACAGACATCACCAGCACAACTGTGCACACATGTACATACACATGTTGCAACAATAGGATTAAATAGGAGTGAGATGACACTTTGGTCTCATTCCCTTTCCCATATGGACTAATGACAAGGTTTACTAGAAACAATTACCAACATGCAAAGATGAAGAAGTCTGAGGGGAATCACCCACCGCACTCCCTTGTTTCCCAGCTAGGTTAGAGAAATTGCATCAAAAGGAGGAACCTCTTGTTTTAGACTACCATGTCTACAAAGGGTCATCTTACCTCGGCAAGTGTGTCCACTAGCCTTTTTTCGAATCCACTTGTCACCTTTGCAACATCAAGTACACTTTCCAGTGCTAAATATGATTGGACTATCGCAAATATTGATGGTCCAATCAGAAAACATTTCACAAAATCAACATCCGTTTTCCGAAAAGGCCCCTGCCGTAGCTTGTCAAATTTGCGCTTAAGTTCTTTCAACAATTAAGAGAAGATTCAAGATTAAAATTCAACTTTTCCCAAGTACAGTGCTTGTAAGAGGTACGATGATGAGAACAGTCATTAAACACTACTGGTACACAATCATATTTTCCACTGCCTCACATTGCTGACACGAATACATCTTTTCAATCTTCACACCCCTCAACGATCGCCTTTGTCTGACAGGGGTGAAATTGTGAATGTTTTCATAATTTGATCGGCCAGGTTCTCGTCTATAGTAGTCGCCATCTTTGTGGAGCCATACACGATAAGAACAGTGATCTGATTGTATATCACATTTTCATAACAAGGGGCACAACTCGTGCTATACACAGGGACCCCACGATCGGGTCAAGAAAAGTGGGCTTGATGTGGCAAGGGTAAAAACTAGGCTATGATATAGGCTAGTACACACGCTTGCCTCAGGAAGATGACAAAGGGTATATCATTAACATTTCATAATCATCTATTAAATAACTGACAGTACGAGACAAAGAGCACAATATATACAGAAACAGCTGACATGTAACCAAATGTACAGGTCCCAACATGAATGATCTACATCAGATGAACAATAATGTTACACGATGCATGAGTTCACAGCCTTCAAAGTGATTAAACATTAGATGCAAGAAAACATGTCCTATATCCTGATATACTGCTGGGATGTATTGATCATTCCTGGCTATAGATATTCTACAGAAAGCTCAGTGCTTGATAGCTACCATGGACACGACATGTCATGGACAATTTCGACATGATATTCAAATGCATTTGGATCTGATAATCAAACGGTACACAGACTTATTCATCCTATACAGTTGCACCTTGTTAATGTGGAGAAACAGATTCTAGACTCCCACAGTATTTAAGTGAGTTGTGTTTAACACCGCTTTTAACATTATTCCAGTCATATCACGGCATGTCAGCCTAATGTGGGAGGAAAGCCCGAAGTGATGCAGGTTTCAGAAGTTTACCACTTCGGTGAAACCCATAAGCACGGGTATGGTGATGACAAACCTAGAAACATAAATGGGGCGAACTGGGATTCGAAACCCACAATCATAGGTTTCTGGCATGCCCAAGGGATGCAACTCTGCACAGCGAATAACGGCGCCTTAGACGACTGGGCCACCCGTGCCCCCTCACAGTATTCAAGCCATTATGAGGATGTCACTCTATTGTATTCTGCTCCAGGAATTCACTCACCATGCTGAACAAAATCAAAACAACTAAATGATGACACAAGTATAGGCCATTATGTAAAATTATAGAGAAACTACATATCAACCATAACATGTTTAGGTCTGACAAATCACTAGAACATGTTCTATTCAGAAGAAGAATCAACTTGCCCCTTGGGGGTTCACTGATTCCAGTTCCAGAATCAATAGATTCTCATATCTCCATTACATCGTTGGTGCTTTCTTTCGTTAATATGGTTGATGTCTAGTTGGCAAAGTGGATTAAGTTACTGGTAATCAGTTTTGAAAAGACATATTGTGTGCCACAATATTTAACATATAATGCCTTCATTAGCATTAGCTTGGGATCCTTGTAAGGTCCTCCTGTATACTTAGAGACAATGAAGTGTGTACAAATTCAGTGAATGAAGTTTCAGTTGTAGCTAAATACAGTTACATGAAGCTCGCAGGGAATAACACTTGTATATACACTACAGATTCTTGCAACAATTGATATCCATTAACAATAACCCCGCAACTATCATTCAACATACTTTAATAGGGTGTACCACTATCACACCAGGGTGGGTACAGATCCTGATGTACCAACACTAACACCCGCTACACATCACAAATATCACATTCAGGTTTCTGCTGAACCACAATCAGAGTGAACAGGGTTCCTGGTCCACACAGAAGGGCTCCTGACATCTCTACATTATGCACAGAGAGTGTCTCATAGGTCAACCAACTAACAACTTTATTTGGTAATAACAAGATCTCCTAGCTCTAATATGGAGTTCTATCATGTTCATTCGTTAGGTTTTGTTCATTTTGTTTTTGGAATGTTTGATGATCATGAAAAGGAAATGTCATTTTTGAGCATAAATAAAATAAAACCAAGGCTCAAATATTTTTCTTGATATCTTACGAGCAAATTATGAAGCTTGGATTAAAAATTCTAACATTTCCAATCACAATTATCCTGGGGAGCAGTCTGTTTTGTTGACAATCTTTGTTGGACTCCGGCACTAGCACTAGAAGATGGGGATGTAGGAGTCTATCTTGGCTCGGTGGCGCTGGGCAACACACTCCGCGATCCAGATGATGTTGCGACATTCCTGTTCCTTAAGCTTGACATACGAGTAGAAGACCCCGAACTGGAACTGGTGCATAAACGACTGGGTCATCAGCTTCACCTGAAACACACACAGTCTGAGTAATTCACTTCAACACACCCAGTCTCAGTAATTCACCTAAACACACCCAGTCTCAGTAATTCACCTCAACACACCCAGTCTCTGTAATTCACCTTAACACACCAGTTCCACTTTTTAAAGGAAATTGATTTAATACATAAATTTTGATGTACATAATATGTTTTTATATATTGGTAGTGCTAATATATAACTTAGATTGTTAGTGGCTGTACCCTCGAGGGGGGTTGAAGTAGCGTAAAATTATTGTCCCCCTAAGAGGGTATGTAAGTCCCACATCATTCAATGTATTGTTATGCATACCAGAATTTTAAAACGTAGTATTTTTGTCCTTTTTCATCTAAGGCTTAACTGGTCAACTATGGCCAGTGACTGAAGGGATGATATAAATCCTGCCGGGGTCCATGCAGGAAGCAAAAGTACTGTAAGTCCCCATGGTCCCCAGTATGGTGATCTCCCTTTAGTTACTGACGATCTCTAGCCCATTTTTATATTGTGTTGTTAATTCTTTCTGCTTTTATATGTTCCTCAACTAGTTTTAATACACTCTGTGATATTCTAGTTATTGTACTGTCCTTTGCTGACAGTTTTTTTTATAAATTTTATATACTTATTTGTTATTAATGTATTAATTCTCGTCACGATATGGCTGAAATATTGCCGATGTGACGTTAAATATTAACTCACTCACTCACTTAACACACCCAGTCTCAGTAATTCACCTAAACACACCCAGTCTCAGTAATTCACATAAACACACCCAGTCTCAGTATTTCACCTCAACACACCCAGTCTCAGTAGTTCACCTAAACACACCCAAACACACCCAATCTCAGTAATTCACCTAAAGACACCCAATCTCAGTAATTCACATAAACACACCCAGTCTCAGTATTTCACCTCAACACACCCAGTCTCAGTAATTCACCTAAACACACCAAATCTCAGTAATTCACCTAAACACACCCAGTCTCAGTAATTCACATAAACACACCCAGTCTCAGTAATTCACATAAACACACCCAGTCTCAGTAATTCACCTAAACACACCCAGTCTCAGTAATTCACCTAAACACACCCAATCTCAGTAATTCACCTAAACACACCAAATCTCAGTAATTCACCTAAACACACCCAGTCTCAGTAATTCACATAAACACACCCAGTCTCAGTAATTCACATAAACACACCCAGTCTCAGTAATTCCCCTAAACACACCCAGTCTCAGTAATTCACCTAAACACACCCAATCTCAGTAATTCACCTAAACACACCCAGTCTCAGTAATTCACATAAACACACCCAGTCTCAGTAATTCACTTCAACACAATCTCAGAATTTCACCTAAACACAATCTCAGTAATTCCCCTAAACACACCCAGTCTCAGTAATTCCCCTAAACACACCCAGTCTCAGTAATTCACCTTAACACAATCTCAGTAATTCACATAAACACACCAGTCTGAGTAATTCACTTCAACACAATCTCAGTAATTCACCTAAACACAATCTGTGTCTCATGATTTCACCTGAACAGGCAGTCACAGATATTCCCCAAAACACAGTCTCAGTAATTCACTTAACAACACAGTCTCATAAGTTCACCTGAAACACAGTCTCAGTAATTCACACAAAACGTATCCAGGACTTGTGTCCGGCCTTGTGGCATTAATGATGCCCCTCACCTCATGTTCAAAGAACTTGTCCTCCAGTGTCTTGTCACCAGGGTTGGTGCCAGCGCCATCAAACAGCTCCTTGTAATTCTATAAGCACACACAAGCAATCTTTCAATAGCCACAACACTGGGCATGGACATTCACAATATCAAAATTATTATTGTTTCTTATTAATTTTTTAAAGTCTAATACTGTTGACACCGTTACAGGTGTAACTGACGAATCTACTCACAGCATAGAAGTCTGCGACCTGCCGGACCTGATCGTAGTCCTCGCACTCCCCGAGCATGGCGAGACCATCAGGGTACAGATGTCCGCAGCGGGGGTACAGCTTGAACCGATCCTCCTTACTCAGCTCTGTGCCGAACGAGTTGATGGTGATGATGAAGGCTCGACGATCTGCCTCAAACTGAAGCATGGACACAGTTTAGTCAGGCGGACACCAACAGGACAATTGGGGATGTGTTTGTTTGTTGTGTTTGTTATTTAACGCTGCACTCAGCAATATTCCTGCCAAATGAGTCTGAATCAGACAATCCAGTGACATCATGAGCATTGATCCACGCAAATGGAATACGATGACATGTATCAACCACACGATCCTGTTAATTGGGAAAGTGAATGAATGGGGTAGTAGTTAGCAAGATGACACTTACATCCCCAGTGTGGACCAGACAAACCCATGGTCGATAGTATGAGCAACAGTCTGTGCTATCTGCTTACACATTCCTACAGACTACACCATATCCTGCAACATGGCAGTCAGCAGACTTGTCACCATTTGAATCAAACTCAAGTCAGCTTAATGAAAGGTGTTTTCATTCTCATTGAACAAAGTCATTCCTATGTTCAGACACGTGAACACTTAATTGAAACAACAGTCATCCAATTTTTAAAAATCCTACAACGATGATTACCCAATCTTTACCCCCATTAAATATTACAATACACCATCAAAGCTGAAAATTTCATTGCATACTGCAGCAAAGATAAACTAAAACAGATAACTCTGAAGGTGTGACTCACAGCAAGTGCTTCACACATGACCTCCGATGTGGCTCCGCCCATCTGCTTGCAGAACCCATAGAAGTCTTCCAGGTATGCCTGTTACAACAGTCAAATATATGCATACTGTAACACTCAGTTATATGTAGTGGTCCTGTTATCACAGTCAGATATACATAGTGGTCCTGGTGTCACAGTCAGATATACATAGTGGTCATGTTGTCACAGTCAGATGTACATAGTGGTCCTGGTGTCACAGTCAGATTTATATAGTGGTCATGTTGTCACAGTCAGATGTACATAGTGGTCCTGGTGTCACAGTCAGATATACATAGTGGTCCTGTTGTCACAGTCAGATATACATAGTGGTCCTGCTGTAACACAGTCAGATATACATAGTGGTCTTGTTGTCATAGTCAGATCTACATAGTGGTCCTGCTCTAGCACAGTTAGACATACATAGCGGTCCAGCTGTAACACAGACATACACAGTGGTCCTACTGTAGCACAGTCAGATATACATAGCGATCCTGTTGTAACAGTCAGATATACATAGTGGTCCTGTTGGCACAGTCAGATATACATAGCGATCCTGCTGTAGCACAGTTAGACATACAAAGCGGTCCAGCTGTAACACAGACATACACAGTGGTCCTACTGTAGCACAGTCAGATATACAAAGTGGTCCTGCTCTAGCACAGTTAGACATACATAGCAGTCCAGCTGTAACACAGACATACACAGTGGTCCTACTGTAGCACAGTCAGATATACAAAGTGGTCCTGCTCTGGCACAGTTAGACATACATAGCAGTCCAGCTGTAACACAGACATACACAGTGGTCCTACTGTAGCACAGTCAGATATACAAAGTGGTCCTGTTGTAACAGTCAGATATACATAGTAGGCATGCTGAAACAGTCTGAGAGTTGTCCTGCTGTAACTATGGTAACACACAAAATGGTTCATGGTGGACTTACTTCCTTCTAACCTTATTTAATAAGGTGATGACATATCAACTTGGAGCAGTCTATTAGTATTCCTCAAGGCATGTAACTGTTAAAGATCCTTTATCATCGGAATATACTTCAAATCTCAATCATTCGATGCATGAAATATTAATCTCTACTTAACAGGTCAAAAGTGAATTATCCAATTACAATGGAAGCCATGCCTTCATTAATCAACAATGTGAACTCAATCAACAGTTACTTTGTCAGACGTGCAGTCTGTGCTCCTAGGCGCCCATAGATTGAATAGCTAATAACACTGGCAGAAGATGGTCAATACTGCAGAATGTCTATTCCTCACCTTGTAGAGTGTGTTCCTGATGATCTCGATGTTCATCTCGTCCAGATCCTGCTCTGATATACAATCCATGAAGTAGGGTGCTGAAATCATCAACAATGGATTCTGGTAAATGGTCAGCTGTACAGTTACAAACTCAGAACATGATCATGGCGACCCTCTACTGTGGTGGCACAGCAGGAGCTGCTGCCGAGACCCATCACAACAAATCTGTCACTGGTAAGTATGGCAACTCAAAGGTACCCAGGACAAATCTTTTATAACCTCATTCCACAAAGTATTGTAGCCCCAAGATGATCATAACACCCACAGTTTAACACAGATTTACATCAGACTGCATCATTTTTATAAAAGTTTTAAAACATCACATCTCATGGTAGATGATTGTTAATTTGTACAAGACATGGTTAACATACTCTTGAACTTCCATGCCCTTTGCCTCGGAATGTGTGCACAAATGTATGTTTCTCTCTTTGCCTTGGTTGATATCAAAATCACTGTCATTATCACTGACCTTTACAGGTATGTTATCTGATCTCTTATAGTCAACTGTCACTTATTTTCTAAGCATCCTGAGAAGTCTGAGATTCTCTGAACTCTTTTAGCCTCACACATTTTCACTTTTCGTGTGACATGTAATTATCAGAAAGGACATGATGTTTGTCTGCATTGCTGATTACATTTCAAAGAAAGACATGCGAGAATCACAGACAGGCTTAACCAAAGAATTTGTTTGAAATAACTTATTAAATTTGTTAATAGCTGACTGGGGTGTCCACTAGAGACTACATACCAAGAGGGGTGTCCACCAGTACAGCGTTATACAATTCTGCAGGGGTGGAAGCAATGTGGATTGCCTCCATCTGCTCGAAGCTTCCCAGGGGGTGACACTTGGGGATGAGCTCGTTGATCGGTCGTTGATGTAGTGTGCCGGTGATGAGGAGGATGATGTTGTCGATCATGTAGCTGTAGCTGCAGACAGTCAGGAAGTCAATATTGGAAACTTGAACAGTTATATTGTGAAAAAAAGGATTGGGTGAGACTTAGTATGATTCCGTCACATTTTTACAATTCATGAAGGCATGATAGTAAATGATAAGATGAAGTGATGCTGGAAGTGTAACTATGGTAACCCCCAAGTGGGGAGCAAACTACTGGTTATCCAGGATAAGTTGAACCAACTCACAAGGCATGTTTGGGACAAGTAAGCGATGCACAGAATGTGGGCGAACATATCTGGTTTGTTACAGGTATATAGGATGTACGCAAGTTGTGCACATGCAGCTCGCAATGACGAAATTGACTATGCTCCCGTGAACACGTGTTGCTCATAAAACTATTAAGAGGTCAGTGTGACAAGTCAATACCAGAATTCTCTAGAAGTCATTTGATAGAAGATAATTACAAATAAACATGTCAAAGCTAGGTAAGCATGGCCATATCATACATTCTCAGGCTTGAGAATTGGCCTATAATGTTATAAATTACACAAAGAAAGAATGTAGAAATATATCTCTCTCTCTCTTTTACAGCAACAAGATTCCCTTCAATTGTTGTTTTTCTGTATTGCTGTCACTGTTTTCACATCGGGTGCCTAACATCAGCATGTACAATTGGGTGCTATTGAACTCGCCAGTAGAACTTGTTGTTAGCCGAGACAAGAGATGCACATCATCGTACTACTTGTTACAGACCACCCGCTACCCCTTTCTTCACAATGGTACGTGCCAGTGGGTGACCTCATACATAGTAATACAAGGTTAGTGAGTGAGTGAGTATGGTTTTACACTGCTTTTGGCAATATTCCAGCAATATCACGACGGGGGACACCAGAAATGGGCTTCACACATTGTACTCATGTCTGGAATTGAACCCAGATCTTCGGTTTGACGAGCGAACACTTTAACCACTAGGCTACCCGACCGCCCCTCATACAAGGTTAATTGTCAGATCACAGTTAACTTATCCTGGCTTACCAGTAATCAACTAATAAGAGCAGGCCAATAACTTGCAGCCAGCGGTATTCTAGCTGTATCACAGCAGCTAGTATACATAACTGAGCCTGGTGCTAACAAACCAGTGATTTATATAATGACAAATGTACCATGCCATCAGGGTGAAACAACACACGATCAACCAAACCATGATGTCTGAAAACCCAATGATATTTACTAGACTCGGGGTTTGGACCAGTAGATGAGTCTTGGGGTTAGCTACAACTGTCTGCATGATCTAGGGACTCTTTAATCATGTTAACTTGCAATACTAGATCATAATCCGGACCCCTTGACTCTATCTCTGACCACAGTCTGCTCCCAGTGAGCCCACATTGGTCTGACTTACGTGATGTAGTCGAGGAAGGTGGCCAGCGGTTCCAGACAGTGGTTCCTCAGATGCTGGAACTCGATGACGAGCTTCTCCCGGAGTCTGTCATCAATGACGGAGACTGTGAGGGGGCTTGGTTCGTTGGCCAGGAAGTTGCCATAGTCTGTGCTTTGCAGGTGAAGCTTGAGATCTGTAATCATGGTAATAGCATTGAACACATCAGGAGAACGTGGTGGGGCTTATGCGACATCGGGAAATAATGGGAGTAACTTCATCATCATGAACAAGTTGGGTTTGTTTGTTGTTTAATACGGTAACAATATTCAGCAATATGACAGCAGTCTGTAAATAATCGAATCTGGACCAGACAATCCAGTGATTGACATCAGGGACATTGATCTACGCAAATGGGATACGATGACATGCATCAACCAAGTCAGCGTTTCTGACCACACGATCCCATTAGTTGCTTCTTACAACATGAATAGATGCCCCTTATGACAAGCATGGGTTGCTGAAGATCAATTCTAACCCAGATCATCACAGGTTGAGTAGGGTTTAACTTTGAACTGTATTCCAGTTGGTAACCTCCCAAAACCCCTACATCCCATTTCCCCTACAGCTTAAGACAACAAAGTTCACGGTCCATGGCACTGCTAATCCCTAGTCTGTTACCTATTTCATACAATGGAACAACCCAAGAAACTCGAATAGATTGAGATAAATATTTAATTACGATTACGATATTATTCAAAATTCATAATACATTATAATAAAATGTTCATTTTTCATAATTCATAATACATTATGATAAAATGTTCATTTTCAAAATTCATAATACATTATAACAAAATGTTCATTTTTCATCTCAACTGTAAATCGTCTCATCTCAGTTTCTCAGTGTAACAAGCGTATAGTTGACAAAGTCATCTATATCCCCCCCCCCCCCCCCCATTTTAACACGTTATGGTCCCAAACCAGGAGGCACCAGTCCAGTATGTGCCTGGTAAACATGCACAGTTTTTGTTGGAAAGTATTGAATGGGTTAAGAGTTATGCTCCGGAAACAAACCCTACCCTATAGAACCTAAGTCCAACTTGTTGCAATGGAAACGTAAAAAATAAAAATTGATAAAATTCCTAAATAGCAAAAGGCACCAGTTCAGTATGTGCCTAGTAGACATGCAAAGTTTTGTAAGAAAGGATTTAACAGTTTTCGAGTTATGCTCCGGAAACGATTTCGGGACGCACGGACGCACGGACGCACGCACGCACGCACGCACACACACACACACATACACACGCGGACGGAACCCATTTCTATATCCCCCGCCAACTTCGTTGGGGCGGGGGATAATAATTGTTTCTTCCTATTGTTATTTTTGTAATTTCTAAAAATTGTCTTCTCATCAAACAGGCATCTTTCATTACACTTACATTAATTCTTTTTTTTAAAAACTTTCCTTTAAGTCCCCTTATCCCCTAAAGCTCTACCCCTTTCATTTCTACTACCTCTACTCCAGACCTTAATCTCTCCTTTAGGTGAGTTCATAATGCCAGACAGGTAAATGCCGCGTGTTGTTTTAACTAATTGTAGGGGAACTGGGTTGTAGGGGAAATGGGATGTAGGGGTTTTGGGAGATAACCTTCCAGTTATATCACTGTGTGTCTGCTCAAGTTAATGTGGGAGGAAAGCCCAAGTGATGCAGGTCTCAGACGTTTACCACTGGTGAAACCCACGATCACAACATAATCAGGATCATCATAGGTTTCTGGCATGCCCAAGGGATGCAACTCTGCATGGTGAATTGCTGCATCTTTGGAAACTGGGTAACCCATGTCCCCAACTGCATCATAAGTTACAGCAGAAAATGAAGGCAGAATAAATTTGATGAAAAACAGGGCTGGAATGACATATTGTCTATCACTGTAGTGAGATCATGACACAGAAAGAATGATACAAGCTGCTAATCATGCTAATGACAGTTAATGTTTACAAACCAAAATACTTTTAGTCAAAATGTCATCTTTTTTTTAGTTGAAATTGAAAAAAATGATGGCACTGCCAACCACATAATACTTCAGCAATGCACTGAAAGCTACCATGTTTACAGCCACAATACTTATTGACAGGTAACTGACAGTGATGTTGCTGGAAACAAATGGCATTAGAACATTCTTCTGTATCATTACCAAAATTAAACATGCTGAAAAAAAATCTGCAGGACCTTTTGGATGATAACTAGTCCATGTCCAAGCAAATGAACTGATCAAAATCCCTGCAGTTACATGGTTTCATTGAAGCTGCTTAACATGTTTAACATTCATAAAACTCAAGACATTTAATAATAACATATTTCCTCCTATCAAATAATATAAACTTTATTAAACAAACAACATAATGCCTGTTAAATTTGTTTCCATAGCATCTCAATAAAACAATTTAAAGCCCAAAATAGGCAACAGAAACAAATGCCTCAGCTGTATTTCAATCTTGAAATAAATTCCTTAATCATCTTAATAGAACTTCCTCAACAATAAATAGAAACAATGATTAGTAATCTGACTTGTCACCTGAACATGCTGAAGTCCAAACATATTTTAACACAAGTTCAATAAGAAAACACCAAAAAGAAAATTCCAAACAGTGTTGCAGCCTGGACGCCCCAGTGGTACACCAGGATACACAGCTATGAGGCCATACCTTCAATATGTTCAACACTACACCGACACAACACTGGGGCTCTACAGGGGTGGGGTCAGCAGGAAGGAGAAATATTCAACTAAATGAAGACAATGTTCATAAGTAGACATATTGAAATAAAACAATCTACCATACTGATATCTCTCATAATAAAATATAAATAATATTGATTTTGTGACAGCCGGCCTGGTGGGAAATATTCAGTAAAATAAATGTACACTAATGGGTCACATGTCGCGTGCTCAAGTATTATCGTGTGTTTACTTTAAAGCCTCACATGGTTTTCATCACTTGTGATCAAGGTTATTCTTGAGTCTCCTGACTTGTACACGATAAGTCTGTATTTTCTTACTTTATTCATCATTAGTAGACATGGTGGATGACAATAAATTCAATTAGTAATGTTAAATATCAGCATTATTGTCAACACAACCCAGTCCAACACATGTACATTGTACTTGCTATTTGATCATGATTACAATCATCAAATCAAAATTGTCCTATAGTCTGACAGTTAAATCTTGTTTGCCTAGGACAGTATAGCATGAAGGAGGTGGCAAAACGTTGCTTAACACTATTATAATAACAACAGCCAGAGTAGTGTTTATGAATAATAGTGACAAATGTATGATAAATATACTTAACATCCCTATCTCATGTACTTTGATTAAAATGTCCTCCAAGTAATTTCCAATCAGATGTTAAACTTTTTCAGCTTGTTAATGAATCCGATTCATAGATTAACATGATCAATTAAGACACTCGATAGAAAACAACAACAAAACATTTTCCCCAGATTTGGATAACAAGATGGATATTTTCCAATCACTATGCCACAGACATCATTATAAGCAAGTAAAACTTTTAGGAGAAACAAGTGTACTGTGATATGATGGAGTCAATAGAGGTAACCACTTTAACGACCCGGTGAAACATCTCAGTGTACAATCACTGCATAACGCCCTGGGGGCTCATATATATGGAAATTAATCATGTCAAATAGAGGGCTATACTTCCTGGTCTACAATATTTACTTTGAGGGGACCTTGGCTTAAGCAATTTGATCATGTCTGTTTCACAAAGGACCACTTACAATAATGTTAATTACAATGTTTAGACCAAGACAAGAAATGAGAGCCTGGCTGTGGAGACATCCTTTACTGATGTTGCTGAACTTCATTTACATTTACTCGGTACAACAATTAATTTTTTACTGTTAAGCATGAGAAGCCTAGTTTATAATAAGGACTGTCGTGTGTCCAACATTGAAAAAATATATAACTTGCATGCAATGTAAAATAAGCGCTTCATCATGTTCATAAATACCGACCCATATAGGCAAAACGCATGGATAAAGATGGGCCAGTTAACAGGCTGTAGGTGAATTTGTAACCAAACGAATCCGTAGTCACTACCAACTCGTTGGCAAAATTAACAGTGAACTTGTAGACAAAACAAATATTGATACAAATATAATGGAGCAATAGAACTGAATAATGATTTATGAAACATTATTAACATTTAAAAAAATATAGATTGAATTTTTGTGTGGCAAATGTATTTCTAATCGTCAATTTTAAATGAAAATATATACTTCATGCATTATGAATGACCTAGCGTGACGGGATTATCTAACAACATGTTTATAATATAAAGTGAGAGAACCAATCAGCGTGATCAGATGCTTGTAAAATAACAACTGTTTCGGTAAGCATAGTAAGTGAAAGAGATGGTTTGTAATTATCATTCAATTCCAATACGAAGTTTGTCTACTAATTCACTGTAAATTGTGTCTACGAGTTGGCGGTGTCTATCAATTCACGGCACCCCAGTTATAGGCTAAATATTTATGTTATCATAACATGAATAATCATACAGGATCATGGAATCCAATGTTCTGTAATGTTTGGTTATGGCTTTTTCACAAATTCAAGGATTCAGTGACCGAAATCGAGAAGAAGGGACCATGTCATCCAACTGTAAATTATCATGATGCTCACATCACATGATGAATACCTACAATCGAATCCTTTACTCTAATCTCGACAACACAACTTCGAATCATATAGTGTATACGAAAATCTCAACGGGAACTCTACAATTTACACAATGAACAGGATACGAACAGCACACACCGGATTCACGCCGTCAAGCGGGTATCAGTATGCTCACAATCACAGGTTTAGAACGCAAGCAGTATTCAGAATAAACAATAATTTACCTTCAAGGGTTTCACACTGCACGAGGTTCAAATAATCAGCCTGTCGTAAAATTCCAGCTTTGAAGCCACGGACAAGACCTTCTACGTAGCCGTGGTCAATATTAAAAGTCAGTTCGGGCATCATTTTGACGAAATTTTGTGAAAACTGTGTGTCACCTTCACGAGCACCTATCTTGACAGAATGGATCACATGATCTGCTGCTGACATCTTCCGGTCATAAACATAACTAAGGAGAGATAACTCTAATTTATTTCGTAAGTTGCCTACCAGTAGCAAAAACACAGAAAGATCTTTTTTCGGCGATTCTACTTATTTGAAGCAACGAAAATAATGACAATTGGAAATAAAATATCAAAATGTCGTATCAATACAATGAAAGGCTTGTGGAATAACTCAACTCGTAAAAGGTAAAATAACCAGCAATCAACTATACCTTTCATAAGATAAGATAAAATAGACTTTATTATCACGTCTTGTTTTTTCTTGGAATCTCAGGAGCGAAATAAAAAACACAATGAATAATAGATTACATGATAGATATAAAGCACAGCTTATTGGATAACATTTTATACAATAGTTGACAGGTAATTGAATCTGTAAGCTGCGGTGTCCCCCGCCGTGATGTTGCTGGAATATTGCTGAAAGCGGCTTAAAAAATACTCACTCACTTAAGGCTGCACATGGACAGTAATCATTATACAGATGGATTTTGTATTTTAGGAGCTGTTACAACGTATGGAGTTTTCCAAATCAACGGTAGTTTATCAAATCGTTTGACATTTGATAAATTGTCTGAAATACACCACCAATACATGTAACTGGCCCCGACGCTCTTTCAAGACAACACCGATAATATTACCAGGAGCACCGGGTGCAGGCTAAAACGGCACCTCAGCAAAACGTCACCGATTTCTCTGGCGAAAACGGCTACTATGTGTCGGGCGAAAACGGCGACTCTATTTTTAATAATGATAAGAACGATTTTTGTAGTAATATATATGGTTTATTTACATGGTCACAGTTATCACAGCATGTTGATGTTTTCTGACATTCTTCTCTCATGCAACACATCGAAATGCCATTGTGAATAATTGTGATCTGACAGCACCATGTTAGGCCTCTTAAATACAGTTTCAGTTTAAATTGAGTAAAGGTACTTAAAACTTCAAAGCGTATAGTGTTAACACATTAAGTTAACTGCGCCCCCCCCCCCCCCCGCAAATCAGTCGGCGAGTAAATTGGAGCAGGGGTCTAATTTCTTACTTGTTTTATTTCACTGTATTTATTCTACAGAAAAGATATCTGCTTCTCTGGCATCAATATGAACACTATCTGGTAGGATGCATTTTACTATTTTTTCAAAAGACTTTCACCGAAAAAAACATCTTTCTCATTAAGAACTGATTTAATCTCGTCACTTTTCCTTGGTATATTACTAGTACAGTAAACTACGGTTAAAACGAACACGCTTATAACGAACTGGCGGATATAACAAACTGGTTTTTGGTCCCTTCCATTTGCTGTATAATTGCTGTATATATGCTTATAACGAATTACGGTTACGAAGTGGTAGTGGAAGTGGTTAACGAACTAGAATTTGTGGTCCCATTGAGTTCGCTATAACCGTAGTGTATGGTAAATTGTCTACACAGAAGTTTATACAATCCGTTACTACAAAGCGTGTTGTGTCCATGTTGTTACACGTGTCTTGACAGATGTCCTACAAAGTGAACTCGAAACAATCTTTGAGCTGATCCACAGATTCCTTTGTCAGTGTTTTATAGTGTTTTAAGCTTCATAGTTCACTCTTAAGGTGGGATCTGTAGGCTTGTATCAAGTGAAGAGAATTACAGTCAGATGTTCCGATTGGTGATTTAGAAATGAAGTAGAATAAATTGGAAGTGATTCAATGGCTTTTAATTGGTTAACCACCCAATTAATTTTTATAATTTAGACGATAAAACACTATCAAAATTACAAGAAAATACTGAAATGTACAAAAAAACAACAACCGCAGGTTATGAGAAACCACATGATAGAGAATCATTGTAACAGTTCACACACAGATTCGCACTCACATACACACATATGTGCAACATGTTAAAGTCACACAGAGACGGGGTGGTGGGGAAGACAAGTGGTTAAAGCGTTCGCTCGTCACGCAGAAGACCCGGGTTCAATTCACGACATGGGTACAATGTGTGAAGCCCATTTCTGGTATCCCCCGCCGTGATATTGCTGGAATATTGCTTAAAGCGGCGTAAAACCACACGCACTCACTCATTCACTCAGAAGATAGAGCGTCTGCACGGAAAGCGGAAGGTCAGGGTTCGATCCCCGGCTGCGTCATACCAAAATACATTATGAGACGATACTTGTTGTTACCCTGCCTGGCACTCGGCATTAAGGGGCTAAAACAAGGACTGGTCGGATTGAAGTCAGTCTGCTGTGCCTGAGTTGGGTATTCATGTTAAACATGGTATCTCAGTGAGCTACACTATAAATCGGCATCAGTTCGGACTAGTACAATCAGCCACACACACAGCTAGCAGACACACGCACGCACGCACGCACGCACGCACGCACGCACGCACGCACGCACACACACACACACACACACACACACACACACACACGTTAAACCCCATCAGTTGAGCATACTTTCCCCCCTTTTTCCTTACAGATTGTTGTTCCAATACTTGATGTACCCGAGACAAGAGAGTTAACTGACCCTAAAATAACTGACATTCACAGTCAGTCAACTCTCTTGTCTTGGGAAGACAAGGGTACAAGTTGTGCTCTATGGTAGCTGTTGTAGATTTTACTGCCGCTTCACTGTCAATGTCGCTGAGAATTCCTGACGGAAACTGTCTCGTTTGTGACCCGTCTTACAAACTGGTGGACGGGTAGCTGCTGATGGTGTTTCTGTTTCTATATTCACAAATCCTGACAATGGGGCTTTGGCTGAAAGCACAGACTGTCGAAGTATCGTTAGGGGAACGTTGATATTCAGATGTTGAACAATTAAATCTTCACACACAGGCACGTGTTCCTGGGTTTTACCTCGCGGTGTAACATACGTACACTTGTTATATCTGAGACTGCCCTTGAGCATAACGCATGTTGAAGCCAACAAGAAAATCTATCAGTTGTGATCCATGAAAATTATCTGAGAAGTCTATAACATCATCTCCTACTTCTTTATAATTTATACAGTCTATAGAATTGAATTCCCCACGCATACACTCAACACTTTGTCTCTGGTACTCCTACAGCGGATTTCTCAGTGTGTTATAAAATGTCAGCACCTCGAGCATACGATAATAAGGGGCGAAGGACATAAGGAGCGGTCGGGTAGCTTAGTGGTTAAAGCGTTCGCTCGTCACGCCGAAGACCCGGGTTCGATTCCTGATATGGGTACAATGTGTAAAGCCCATTTCTTGTGTCCTCCGCCGTGATATTGCTGGAATATTGCTAAAAGTGGCGTAAACCCATACTCACTCACGCATAAATAACACAAGTACAAATTCTAAAATCACTTGAATCAGGTTTTGCCACAGTAATGCCTGAATTGTCTCCCTTGCCTCTCTTACAGACTCCAAAACCTCAACTTTGTTCAATTGAAGGACATTCTTTATCAGAGCTGATGCTTTGTGAACAGTACGTTTTGTGTTGTTAAACTCTACTGTGTCACATTTCGTGTTCTTATTCATAATTCTACCATGAATTTAATTTGGAATTTACTCGATTCTGATTGGTCAGTCAGAGGCTATTAAATTACAATAAACCCCCTCTGATTGAAACAGCTGGTTTGACGACCGCGTCACCGTGGAAGCTGATATTCATAGAATAGTACTTTTTTCAGTCATTGTCGGTAGGCATATTTAAATAATTATATCTACAATTACAGGTTACAAAATGCACACGTGCGGTTACTACAATATTCAAAGGATTTGTGGCAATGTATTTCGTGCAGAAAACACGATAGAAACCTACAAAGGGAATGTATTTACGTTTTGGAGACATCAGAGAGCTTGGAATTTTGGCGCTTTTCTATATACGACTGTGACGTCATAGCTTTTGCGTCACAATGAGCGATATGACGTCATAATGGTGAAGCGCGATGTAGAGCTTTGTTTTCTTTAGGGATGCCCACCTCATGTTAGCTTACCAAGTTGCCGCGCTTTTATGCTTTCAATGCCTGTCATATGTTCGAGTGAAGTATTACGGTGTAAACAAACTGCTTGAGTATATACACAGCGCCATATTTTGTTCGGTGATTCTGTAAATGCTGCGCGTTCGGTTCCAAATATAATTTAGCGCGGTTAAAACTACAGGTAACCTAGCTCTACATTGAAAACACAGTATGTTTATCTCCTAATTTTGTGTTTTGTAGTTTTGACATCTTTCCGAAGCAAGCAACTCATAGAACTTTCAGAATAATGCATGATAACAGAGACCAAATAATAGATATGGTCTCTGATGATAATCACACATACACATACCTTGTCACGATTACCCACAATGACTCTGACGTGTATAGCATGCATGGAACTCCACATTCACAGTACACGTAGGACCGAGTCAATTCAATTCTAACGCTGAGCAAATCGTTGAAAAACTGTGTAAAACAACTATGCCGAGGGCCAAACCTTGTATCGTAGGCAGTTTGGCAGGGTATAGGTTTTAACAGGGACTTTATATATATCTTATAATGTTTTATATTCCCCGAGATAAGTTAGTTAAATATATATAACTATTCGCAGCGCTGTCCAATACAAATTATAACAACAGCTGGGCTATTATTACTATGGCCAGCAGCACGGAGTCATGAGCAGGTCAGTGGCTTCGAATTAACACAAAAGAATGGCCTGTTGGCCACTGAAGCTGAACAATGTGGATGAGGTTCGGGATACTGCAGGACCAGGGAGGTATGGTATTCGATACGTGGCAGTTGCATGGTCAGTGATTTGACTGGTTGAAATTAGAATGCTTGGCGTCGGTCGAGACTTGACCTTCGGACAGCGGCTAGGTAGGTTGGCTCTCTGACGCTGAGATGCTGCCTGGCCATGCCCGTCTCGTTACCATAATCATAATTATATAGATGCTGTATTTATTTTTATATCACAAATAAAGTGTTGTGGACCCACTGATGGACTCCTGTGTTTGAAGGACATATATCCCAAAACAACCAGCCCGGATATGTG